TATGTGGGAAAAAGAAAGATCTCCTGGCCATTGAAACTGTAATTATTATTATTATTATTAAGAGTATGAGGATCAAAGTGGAAATGTAAGGAGAAAAAAGTTTCTTCTATTGGAAATATATTTGAGTAAAACTACAAGCATTCAATTTCAATAATACCTGTACTATAATACTTACAAGTAAAAATCTTCCAAAGCGATATTCAAGTATATTAGTGAAGTACAATTACTCAAGTATTACCCATCCTTGCAAACAAGGCATGAGCAAAAAATATTGAGAGCATTTACGCAATTTGACAAAACAAAAAATTATATCTACCCTTCTGTTTCTACAAGATAAATTAAGCTACATTTGCTTTGATGTCTGAGTGTTGGATTCCAGTGTACATAATAAAATTCAATAAATTAGTCAGGGTAAAAGCAGTATTAGCTGATACTAATTTGCTGGTAGTTAGCTGTCTGGTGACTGTCTGCTTGTGCTTTCCCTTTCATGGAAAAAAGAAAGCAAAATAAACAGTGCAGTACAGGTGGGCTGCCTAAATCTATATCAATACAAAATTTAAAAAAAAAATCAAAATTCAAAACATGAAACTTAATACTGTTATTCACAGAACCTGTAGCTTATGCTTTCAATCTTAGTGCCACTTCAGGAAGCACTCCAGAAGTACTATATTCACTCTTAATCACATTTTGATAAGTAATCACTTCTAACTGGACTTTCCGTTTCAGACATTTCAGCAACACTGCATTATTATTAACATTATCTACCAGTAATGTTACAAATTTGGAAACAAAAAAAAATAAATAATCAGCTCCCCCCACTGCCTTTATAAATGTAGCTTCTTCTAATGCCTGTGAGTGCAGTACAGACTTCTAATTGACTACACAGGCAGTATTTTATGGTGATGTGGTGCTGCTCATGCTGCTGAAGTAGTTATTTATGATCATTGCAGTTGTTCTTCTTCAAGTCTTGTTCTATAAGATGGCTAAATAAAACAGAATACATTACCTGCAAGAGGAATTTGGGGGTCTTGAGCAAGACGTCCAGGATCAGCTGTAGAAGCCCTTAACAATGCAGACACACACAAGAGCGATGCCAGGTAGTAACCTAAAAAGAGAGAGAGGGAGAGAGAGAGAGGTAAATTCTCACTTTAACCAGCTACCCTATAATTTACTAATAGCCACATATTATCCTCAAGGACAGAACGAAACGGCCTCATTTACACCAGGTCATTCCATATGACTTGAATACATCTTGACAAGACCGATTCACAAAGACATTTTTATGCTATGTAAGTCAAATGTCTCGCTGATTAGCCATATTGTCCTCCAATTGATACGCAGTGCCTTAAAGGCAAATTCATTCATAGCACCTGACAACCACATTGTTGTGCTGTTCTGTCTTTCATATATTCAAAGGATGGTAGTCACTTCCAAGACTGACTTTTTTCCTTGTTAAAGTTCACCGAAAGTGCCGTGTTTGGAAGTCAGATGTACAACAGAACATTATTGCTTGCAGGTTTTTTGTACGTGTCTTACAATTTTCAGTAAATGAAAATTTATTCTACGTCTATTTGATCATGCATTAAAACTTGCCATAGTTATCTTCTATTTAAAGTGATCATACTAAATACTGAAAACATCAAGCAGCTTGTATTACTCTTACATTGCTCTCCTACATCTGTATATCTGAAGAGCTGGTCTGGGGAGGGGCTAAATGATTAGCTCCACCCACTGTTTTACTCCACCTGAAACTTTGGAGGTATCTGACAGACAGACGCATGCATTTACAATTGTATAACATCTCCTGAAGAGGTTAAATCGTATTTCGATCCATTCCTAATAGAATCTGGGGTGCATTTATACCTAACATTTTAAACAGATAATCCATATGTGAGTGTTTACTGTATAGTCCACATACTCAATGATTAAGGCTGCACCAAAAAAAGTAAACAACAATATTAAATAGTCAGAACAAAGGTGAAATGGTGTCAGAACAGTGCACTATCACTACTACATTAATTAGTATAGTTTGTATATAGTTTGTATATTATAGTATAATAGATTAAATACCCTCTCTCTAATTTAGTGTGATTTGATGTACTTGCTTTAACTCTTCCACTAAGTGCCAAGCCCTTCTTGAGTTGAACTGGGTGTGAAAGATCAGGTTAAACATGCATTGCTGTGGCCTGAGTTGCACACACCTCTTCAAATGCTGGTTAGGGTAAAGGTTTCACATAATTACACCTGCTTTCTCACCAGACAAACCAGTCTGATAACTCTGTACTGTTAAGATAAGCTCTCATTCAGCCTCCTCAGTGCCTCTGCACAAACCGGAATGTTAAGGTATTTGTTAAAAATGTGAGCAAACCTAAACCACTAACGTAAATGCATTCACATCTCAGATTTCTCTGATTGTGTCAAACAGTGCCACACAAACGTATACGGGTCCTCTATCTGATTGTACGCAAGTGTGGGATTGAAGTCAGTAAGTAGGTGATGTTCTTAAGACTACAACTACAATACATGGCAGTATAACTTTAACCCCTTAACATCCTAGGCTTTTAACATACTACGGCTCATCATTCAGTAACTACTGGAACTCCAATGCAAAGGTGTTGAGCTATTCTTAGGTTATAGAAGTGTGTAACAAAACTATGGCCTTTTAAGAGGTTACCCAATGAAATCCAAACCAATATAACAATCAACATATTAGTAGAAGTAGAGAGATAAGAAATAAAATGTCACTAAAATCTAGCTAATTACATTCTTAATCTATGTACTGTCATCTTAATTTGTTCATCTGATAATGTCCAAGGGTTGGAGACTTCAGGTAGACAATGACTGCAAAGGTTTTGTGTCCAAGTACAAAACATATCAATGTTTAGTTAATTTGTCCAGTTGAGTACGGTCCCCTGAAATAAGAGGATTATATAGCTGTAAATGCCTACACCATAACGACACAATATAAATGTAAACATTCATAAATTAAAGCTGACATTCTATAGTTTAACCACATTTTCATTTCAAATTCATTTTGCTGGTGTACAGAGCCAAAACAACAAAAACTGTGTCACTGTCTGAATACCTATTCTATACTACACTGTATTGTAAAGGTATAATTACAGTCTTAGGGAAGACTGAGACCCAAATTCCAGGCTATATGCTCCAGCCCTACTCACAGATCACTAGTGCTCCTGGTATATGTCCTTCGGTATAGTGTGGCAGCAGCACCAGCTTAGGGATGAAGAGGGTGTTGTAGAGCCAGACAAACAGCACCATGCTGAGGCAGAACCAACCCATGGGGTCCACCACGAAGTGCAGTCGCAGCTTCATCCTTCTGCATAACACAAGGTCCTTGGACACTGCAAAAGGCTCCTGCTCCCAGCCAGGGGTTTGACTTCAGATCAATGGTGAGACACTGTAATACAGTTTAAATGGAACATATTGATTTCCAAGAAGCTGGGTATGAAAAATGCATCACCTAGGAATAGAAAAGGCATACATGTGAGACCTAATGGTGGCTGAAGGCTTTTGAAACAGTAAAGGAAATTCTCCACAGTTCAGGTAATAGCAACTAGCTGAGGCTCATTTCAAAGGCTGTTCTTTTCTACTTCCACAGGGATAGAGTACCGAGCGTAGAGACACGCTAATAGGAAAACAGTAGGAAAAACTGTTAAAAGTGACTCTTCTCTCTTTTTCTAACGTTACAAATGACCCAGAGCTGAAGCCAGTTGTGCATATTAACGTACTAAAATGTGTACTGTTATAAATCAATTGATAAGACTGGTGACTCAGCCTGGTGATGACCGACACCTTCGGATAACCCTGCCTCCTCTAATAAACTGTAGCACACTGTAATCACGCCCGGAACATACAATTAAATCTAATAACCGCACATTATTCGGCTCTCTGCTAGCTGGGCGAGCATTATGATGATGAGCTGCTCACTGCTGGCCCAGCCTTCAGCCTTCTCCTCTTCTGATATATAACCCAGATAAACAAACCAGCGTGGAGCAAATTCTAAAATAACAGCGCCTAGAAATGTACTGTGAAATTCACTTTTTTAACCGCAGCAGTACAATTTTGAAATTAAAGGAGGTCACACTTACTGGTTGACAGTTTCTTGCTGGATTACCTGACAGAAGTCTCTGATAATGTTTAGACTATTTCCTACACTGTGATTCTACGGTGGCCGCGAAGGAGAAAAAGAGAAAAAGACGCGATTCCAGTGTAAACTGTCACCCTCGTGCTTCCTCTTAGGAAACCTATTAAAAATTGTTTTAGTTTTTTTTAATACAGTTAACCTAATATATTCAAGTTTGTTATTACTGTTTACATAATAATAATAATAATAATAATAATAATAATAATAAACTTGATAAAATGTGTGAACTGTGGACTGTGATTAAAAATAAGAAAATATATAACTTCTATAATTTACATTTTCTCTTGTATCCAATGAACTATTTCACAAGAAAAAAAATGAGTAATGGTACCTAAAGACAATGGCACTGCAGTTCACCAAGACTGAAGATGTGTGCTCTCAAAAGGCTGTATTTGCTTGATTTGACGCGAATCATGGAGTAACCCACCAAAAAGTGAACACCCGATAACCTAATCAGCGCGTGGCGGTTATTTGTCCCCTGGCAACCCATCCTTCATTTGCATTTCCTTGTTACAGAGTCTGTAGCTAGTTGCTTCTGTCTGTTAGGTTTACTAAAAGCGAACAAAATCAGGCCGTTATGGTCCAGAAACTTATATATGTGTACTTATGTATTTCTGGATATAAGCTCATTTTTCACTGTGTTATTCGAGACTCTAATCTCTAACATAAATATCTGAGCTGCCTGTCTCAATGAGCAGAACATAGAACAGAGACAGACTCTTAAAACGAGTTCCTCAAAAATCTAAAAGCGCATGAGGAACAATAATATGTGGGCTTTTATTTTGAAGTGTTCCTTTTATGATTTATTTTGAAGCAGTCGCTGTGTTCACGCTGCTTACGCTGCTAACAGCTGACGGGACAGCGGAACTGGCTCGCTGCGTTTTCTCTCTCAAAACGCAATGTTTCAGCAGCGCTAAATAACTTTCAGCGACCACATCTCAGCTTTCACACAAACACAAACACAGCCTGGGTCTGAGAGTGCTTTGTCTGGTCGTGCAGGAGGAGGATGGCGGCCCGGCGCTGCTCTTCGCTGGCTCTTAGCGGAGGAGAGGTGTCGCTGTCTTTCAGAGACGAGCTGGCGGCCACCATCCACGGAGCGTTTGAAGTGGCTGTGGAAATCGCGGTGCTGGAGGTTTCCAAGCTGGTCAGCCAGGCGCTGGGGGACGTCCGAGAGCAGATGCAGGAGACCCTGAGGGAAAATAAATTCCTCAAATCTAGGCTGCAGTCGGCCGAGCTGGAGCTGGACGCGGTGCGGAAAGGCCCAACAGCAACAGAGAGCCTGCAGAGCGGTCAGCCTGAGAGTGGAGGAGGATTCACCCAGCATCAGAAAGTCGAGCAGCAGCAGCAACAGCAGGAGCCGAGCACGTCTCAGGAGGCCTCTGAGGAGACCTATGAGTGCGATGAGAGGGGCTCTGAGCAAATAGACGAGTCTTTCAGAGAAATCCGTGAAGATGGACGTGTCCGTGCACACGAGTTGAACCCAGACTCTAAAACAGTGTCTGTACAGTACCTTGATCCAGGTATGTTAAGAGGACAGCCAGGGTCGTTTACGAATATTTAGAGACCCTAACAAGGGGAGACCCCAGTTTACTCCAATGATAGTGTTTTGTAGACAAGAATACATTTTATAAGTTTGATTAATGCTAAAGAAAACATGATTAAGAAATGCCTTTAAACAACAAAATAGTCTCTGTTCTAGAGATAAAATGTTGCATTAACTAAAGTGTTATTTCTGTGGCATATGTAATATAATAAACCAGGGTCATTTCTGTGTGGAGTTTGCATGTTCTCCCCGTGTCTGCGTGGGTTTCCTCCGGGTACTCCGGTTTCCTCCCACAGTCCAAAAACATGCAGTCAAGCCAATTGGACATGCTAAAATTGCCCCTAGGTGTGAGTGTGTGTGTGAATGTGTGTATGTCTGTCTGCCCTGTGATGGACAGGCGACCTGTCCAGGGTGTATCCTGCCTTCCTCCCAATGACAGCTGGGATAGGCTTCAGCACCCCACCGCGACCCAGAAGGATAAGCGGTTTAGATGATGGATGGATGGATGTAATATAATAGAAGTATTATTAGTGAGTTTTCAGGCTGCTGTTCCTATTTGATTTCAAATGTTTGAGAACTGTGTATATTGTACTGTTTTAAATGAGCGCATTACCAGTTGCATCTGTCTTTATTGTGTGTCTCCTGTCTTCACAGGTCCACAGCATGATTCACTTGACACAGAGAAGCAGCAGAAACCAGAGCGCAGCCCAGACACTGAAAGTGAGCAGAATCAGTCTCCTGCTGTGCTTAAAGAGGAGCCGCTCCATGTGAAGGAGGAGAGTCTACAGTCAGAGCTGGATGATAGTTCTGGAGGTGACGCTGAGATTGGCTCCAGCTTTAATCCTGCCTCTGATGAGGAGTTTGGTCAAGACAGACTGGCTCTGGTTCAGTCTAAACTGCTGGAGGACTGGAGGCCAGATCCAGAGCAGCCACAAAGTGAGAAGATCAAGTCTGTTAATCCTGGACCCAGCCAAAGTCTTGGTAGGAGGACCTCATATGACAGTCTGATGTTTAGCTTGCTTTTACTTTAGAATGTTGGAAAATCATTATGCAAGGATGTTGTGCTAGCAAGTGGTGGGCAAAAGGATGTGTTCTCATTAATGTGGCAGACTACTTCTCAATACACTTTTTCTGAGATTGCGATTGGTTATCAGCACTGCATATAAAAAAAGATTAACAACATAACAAATCAAAATAAACGTAAGTAGAGAATAAGTATTTCTTATTTAGAAGTTGATATTTTAGCTAGTACTGATTAGCCAAAACAAGTATTGGATAACTACAAATAATTCTGGGCTGCCATGAGGAGAAGTTTGGAAAGAGTTAAACAAACACATTAACATCCACATACACTATATGGCCTAAAGTATGTGGACACCTGACCATCACCTATATGAGCCAATTGGACATGCTTTTCCAAAACCATGGGCATTAATATGGAGTTGCCCCTTTTTCCGTCTATAACAGCTTCCCCTTGTCTGAGAAGACATTCCACAAGATTTTGGAGTGTCTGTTGGAATTTGTGCCCATTCAGTCAAAAGAGCATTGGTGAGGTCAGGCACTAATGTGAACAAGAAGGCCTGGATCACAATCGACGTTCCAGCTCTTTCCCAGAGGTGTTCAGTGAGGTTTAGGTCAGGGCCACTGGAGTTCCTCCACACCAAAGTCATCAAACCATGTCTTTATGGACCTTGCTTTGTGCACAAGGGCACAGTCCTTCTGGAACAGAAATAGGCCTTCCCCAAACAGTTGCTACAACGTAGGAAGCTTAAACAATAGAATAACCATTTTTGGTGCTAAATAGAACCATTTTTAAAAAGGTTCTATATATAACTATATACAACATGTATTCCATCAATCTGGAGAACTATTTAAGCATGAAATGGTTCTATAATATGGTAGAACCATTTCCTTTGCTAAAGAACCCTTGAAGAACCGTTTTCTAAGTGTGTCTCCTCACATCCAGACCAAGGTTCGTCCATCTGACTGCCAGATAGTGAAGCGTGATTTCTTCGTTCCAGAAAGCACATTTTCCTACTCCAGAGTCCAGTGGCGGTGTGTTTTACACCAGTCCAGCCGACGCTTGGCTTTGTGCATACTGATTATGGACTTACATGCAGGTGGTCAGCCATGGAAAACCCATTTTATGAAGCTCCTGATGCACAGTTCCTGTGCTGATGCTGCTTCTAGAGGAGTTTGGAACACCATAGTGAGTGATGAAACACAGGATAGACAATTTTATGCGCTACATACTTCAGCACTTAGTGGCCCCACCCTGTGAGTTTGCATGGTCTACCATAACATGATTGAGCTGTTGTTGCTTCTACACACTTCCATTTCTCAATAATAGCACTTACAGTTGATTGGGTCAGATCTAGCAGGGCAGAAATTTTACAAAGTTGGCATCCTATGACAGTGGCATGTTTAAAGTTACTGAGATCTTCAGTGCAACCCATTCTACTGCCACTGTTTGTCTATGGAGATTGTGGGGCTATGTGCTTGTTTTTTACTCTTGTTTTCAATGGGTGTGACTAAAACACCTGAACTCAGTAATAAGGAGGATGTGTATATGTATTTGTCCACATACTTTTGGCCACCTAGTGTACATTGCTACTTATTATTGTTATTTGTATTTATTCTAATGTTATTGTTTTCCTCAGTAAATTAACACTTATTGTAAAAAATTAAAAATATTGTAAATATCATTTTAATAACATTTTCTCATGTTCCTGTTTGCCATATTGTCCACGCTTAATGCTAGCTTTGTAGCATCAATGATGAATGTAGTTACTTTTGGACTTATTTTGTTTTCTCTTCTTCAGAAGCTTCAGACATCATCCCCTCATCCGTTGGTGGTCATCCAGCCTTTTCTGCCTCTTTTGAGGGTCTCTTCCAGCCAGTAGACAGAACTCAACTTGCTCATCCTGCGCCTCAAAATTACACTGTCCACAACAGGACAAACGTTCATCCCAATCTGCACCTGTGTAAAATCTGTGGCCATTCATTCAGTCGGGCGAGTGATCTGCGTAGACACCATAGTCAACAGCACCGATCTAGGGCCTCTAACGCAGGGAAGACACCCAGTTCCGGAAGGCCAGCCAAGAAGCAGTTATTTCCACCGGGATGCAGCCCTTACCATTGCAACGAATGCGGCCGGGACTTTAACCGCATGGAGAACCTCAAGACACACTTACGGATACACACTGGAGAACGGCCTTACTCTTGCTCTGTGTGTGGGGTGCGGTTCCGGCACTCAGGGGCACTTACACGGCACTTCCGTATCCATACAGGAGAAAAGCCTTATGTTTGCGGACAGTGTGGGAAGCGTTTTCGGAACTGCGGTGGACTGCGCTTCCACCAGAAATCTCACAGTAGAGACAGACACATCTTTATGAATTGAGTTTAAGAATGAAGCAGTGTGGAGTTGTATGGTCTTTTTGGAATTAGTGTAGTGTGGCATAGGTTAAAGGGCTTATATCATGAAAAATAAAATATTCCTTTTTTTATATTTTATTTAATAAGAGTTTCATGTAGTATGTAAACATTGTCAAAGTTTTAGAATATACTGTACATGTCCTAGTCCGTACAGGCCATTTATGGAAACCAAGCTGCAAAAAGAGCTCATTTTGTATTCATTATGGATGTAATGTCACAACCATGAACACATGTACATATTGGTTACATTGAAGTGAGAGGGAGTGTTGTTACTACAGTCTGTAGCAGAGTTGTTGTAGGGCAAAACGATTAAACACTGTGTTGTTCCTGGCTGTCGGGAAGTAAATGTTTCACTGCAGCCTAAGTGAACATAGGGGAAAATGAAAATGCCACAAAATAGAATATAGGCCCTGTAAACATGCTTAGAAAGAAATGGTAAAATAAAAAAAAAACATTCTTCTGATTCCATTTATTTTCCGTATGCCATGTTATTCATATTTTAAGCATTTCATAGTTGTGGTGACAGCACTATAATTTTAGGTGAATCACCGTTTCCTTCTGAATGATTACATTTCAGGCGAAGCAGCAATTAAAAGTTTAAATCCAAGGCATGGGAATCAACACAATGTGTTAAAAAATGACAGCTATGAAGTGTGCTTTGAAAGCTTTTCTTGATGGAGAAGATGTTTTTGCTTCTTTCTTAGCTGGTTCCTGTGAAGGTTGCTGAAAAAATGTGCTCAATATCCATTGGCAACATCCAGGTAGACAGTTGGTTTGTATGACAAGAGTGCCAGACTGAAACTAAAGAGTGAGACAAAGTGCACGGCTGTGATTTGGCTGAAGTTTTTGTTTGTTTGTTTGTTTTTTTAAATATGATACTGGTTCTAATTTGATCATGGGCATCTTGATGAGTGCAGTGTTGGATCCTGCTATAAGTTAATTCACAATAAATGTGGTAAATTGTGAAAACTTAAAGTGCAGCATGTCTTGAGCCAGAATTTTTGCATTACAGTTAATGAGCTGAACTGATTCCAGATTAGAATGTTCCTGATCACAGTATCACATTGAAATGTCTCTGTGTTGCATCTGCTGTTTGGAATGATCGGAATCAGCTGAAACATACTTTTCCACGTGTGCTTGTCATGTAGATTTTCTCGCGATACATCCAACATACTACACCTGTGCTGTTTCCAGAAGCTTCATTTCAAGTCAAAATTCAAACTGTATGACACAAACCATTTATTTGTGTTTTGCTCGTCTTATTGGTTGAAAGTCAATAAAATAGAAAGATATAACTTTTTAGTGTTAAATTAACCTGTCAAATAATACAACCTGCAAATCTGATGGTGCTACACACACAAAGTACTGTGCAAATGTCAGAGATCACCCTTCATTATTTAATTTTTGGTGTCAGGACAAAAAAAACAAACCTCTCAACTACTAAATATAATATCAAATTGTTTAGTATCTAGTGTGTCCACTCTTTGCCTTTATTACAGCTTCCGTTCTTTTCACTTGCTTTCAGCTTTTTAAAGATTCTGCAGGGACATTTTTCCACACCTCCAAAGTTCAGTCATAGAAGTTGTATTTTTACATTCAGTGATGTTGATTTCTGGACTATGGAATGTTGAGTCCATTGTTCAGAGGACGCCTGCAGTTTCTTTATTTGACTTTCAGATTGTCTTCTTTGTTGTCTATTTCCTTTTCTCAGTAAGGGCTTCTTGACAGCTGCACATCCTTTCACGCTCATACATTCTCAGAAATGAAGGTATCAAACTGTCACTGGGGCAGTACCTAACTTGTCAGGGTACATCTCAGTACCTTTAATCAAGGAACATAATTGTACCATAAGCTGTATTGACTCCACACATCCCGTCTCGTCTTTTTATTTTATTGATCTGTTTTAAAACTTTAGGTTATGAAAAGGTACATACACATATTTTACCTGGGAAAAAATATTTAAGGTACACAATTGGATCTTAAAACCACTGTTATACCTTTGAGGGAACATTTACACTGTTTGTACCTTGATGAACGAAAATGTACCTGCGCAGAACCTTTATTTCTAACAGTGTAGCGTAGCGTCATCCACTTTATATAAGAACATACTCATAAACACAGTGTTCCAGCAGTCTTTGTCCATCGCTGCTCTTTGTACCATAAAAGCAAGTCAAATTAACTACTGAACCTTCCTGCTGGGGTAGACACACTCAGAACAGCAGGTAGTGAGCTTAAAGCTGTAATAGCAAACTATACCCCCGACAAACACGCATCTGTTTGGGCTTAAAATATTATCCACACAACACTAACTGAAATCCTGGTGTTTCCACTGTGTCATGATTTCAGCAGGAATGAATGAAGGCCTTATACGAGGCCTAATTCATTCAGGACAACATAAGCCACATAATATATAAGCATAGTGACTATAAGATGAGAGCTGTAGTGATTATTTAGTCTGGTGTAGGGCTGACTCTCAATATTTAAAACAGTTATGACACAGACAATGTACTTTCAATATTACTATAAAAAATTCAGTGTCAAATCTAGACTGCTGTCTGGTGGTTTACTTTACATTCTGTATGGGTATGAATGTCAGTGCTTCTTAAAATCTATATAATACTTAGACCTAAAGGGGAATTCCACCAGTTTTTAATTCAGAGTGGTTTGATGTGAAATGCTCTGTTGTAGATAAACTTAAGTCTGAATTGTTTACAGTGATGGTGATAGGAACCAGACAGCCAAAGCATTTAATTCCTCTAAAAGCTTCCTCAAAGAAAACAGAAAACACATTAAATAGTTAGGAATATGTGGCCTGATGTCTGAAGTTGTACGGTAGTTTTGAAATCAGATTTTGGCCTTCATTAACTTTAATCATTAATCATTAACTTTACGTACAAACACTCAGAAGACATTAAGTTCACTAAAAATATTTAGATATTTGTTATATTTGCAATCCTTTGGTTTCTTTCACTATAAAGAAATAAGAGTCTCTACAATGCACGATTTCACATCTTGGCATGCTGAATGACTTTGCTTACATCTCAATGATTGAATAATGTAGATATCTTGAAAAAAAAGTGGAATTCCCCTTTAAGATTTGTAAAAAAAAGATACTCATGCCATTTTATTTTTGTAAAACTATATTGTAGTATAGATGCACAGATATATCTTTTATATATAGTATTTATATAACAATTATACATTACACATTATACATTTTTATGGTTTATTTTTTCAAAGATGTTTTATAGCAATGTAGCACCTTTGACTTCTGTTTTTTGTTTAAAAAAAAAAACAAATTCTATTGTATTGTTCAGGAATCAGATTCAAAGTCAAATTAATGAAATTGGTATCAGTATCAAAAAATACCCAGTCCTAGTCTTATGTGTATGTACACATACATATAAGAGTAGGTGTAGATACAGAATTTGTGTTTAATTTGATGTATCATTTTTGTTCGCTATTGATCCCACTTATATATTCCCCCACCCAACACTCATAAGACTGACATGAATCTGTCACCCCACCAGGCTGTATTTAAGCCCCACTCCTCTCCCCCTCTGCCCTATTACTTCTCATCTCTTCCACTTCATCCCTCCAACTTCCTAAGGCAGGATGGACTGGATCTCCTATGGTAAAGTCTTTTTTCCTACTCGCTCTTGCTTTCTGTCTTATTCACCTTAAGCAAGTAGAGTTCTTTGAGTAGAAAGTATGAGGCTGAATTAAAAAACAAATATTTTATATTTTCAAAGTACTCAAAAATATTAGTGGACATCTCAATATTGTTGTATTTGAATATGCCAGCTACTGTTTACATTGCATGAACATTTTGCATGGAAGTCTCACTACATTGATGTACATTAAAGTTAAGAACATATTCTCCTTTTCCTGAAAGGTTACTATTTTAGAGTCATGAGGTTTTCTTACAGCAACGACATTATATAGTCGTATGCAAAAGTTTGGTCACCCCTGGTCAAATTACATGTTTTGTTGATTTTCTAAGTGAAAACAAATTAACACATCCTCTACAGAGAACACACTTCTGCACATTTTAATGCACAATTACTGTTTATTTGCTGAATTAAACAAGTTGGGAAAAAATAAAACAAAATGCAGTTAAACTTGGCAAATAAATAGAAATTATGCACTAAAATTTGCAGAAAAAGCCATAATTAAGTGTGTTCTCTGTAGCAGATGTGTAAACTTTTGCATATGTCTGTACATTACCGGTTTACTGTATGAGGACTACAGCGGAAATGGATTTTCCGACTACTTGTAGTTAGATTGAACACAAACTACTTTATCTGACCATCTGAGGAAGTGGGTGGTACATCTGTCACATTTGTCTATGTCATGTTTTGAAACTGAATGATTTCTCTTTATTTTTTGATCAGTGTTCCTGCAGAATTTATTGGAAAACAAAATCATATATTTTTTTTCCAGAGTCGGACAGTCTGGAGGTGCCCCCCCTCACCCCCACCAGCAAAGAGCTGCTTGGGCAGGCGCTCCATGCCACCTTCGCTGGCTTCACACAGGAGAGAAACCGCCTTCATTTCCCTCAGGGTACCTCAGTCAGCATTTTGAGCTGAAGCTGTCATCTTTCTTTTAAATAAACCCACAAAAACATGAGTTTTGTCCAAAAATTCTGAATGGGTTCCACGTAGCTTTGTAAATGTTAGAATTAAACAAGCTCTTGACTTTGAAGTGATTCCACACATTTAGGACTTTATTTCACCATTTGAAGTTCTTCTAACTTCACTTTAAAAAGGAGCTTCTAATACCAAACCGTGAAGTGAACCTTCTGTTTGTCTCCTTTGTTTGGTACAGACCCCCGGTTGTGGTCAGAATGGGAGGTCAGTTACTGGTTGGACTGGTGCCAGGCTGAGTTTGGTTTGAGAAATCTAAACTCAGAGTTGAGGAATATGCCTGGAAGCAAACTCTGCGCTCTGGACAGAGAGATGTTTCTGGAGCTGATTGCTGACTGCACTGCTGGAGAAATTCTATGGGAACATCTAGAAACTATGCATAAAGGTAAAGAGTCGCTCAAGTCTGTCTGAATGTGTGTCATACCAGTGCTGTGTTTTTATGTATCATAATAGTTTGAAAACAGCTGCATTGAGACTAGCAAAAACATTTATTATAGATTTACAGGAGTAGCCTACAGTGTCAGAACTAACAAAGGTGTGTTTTTGTATTTATTTGCTCAGCAAAACCCCAATATGAGAATAAATACAAATAGCATTAACACAATGAGCAGTGATTTTATGTATGTCAGTGTTTTAGCTCAACCCAAACTTTTGCATAGGACTATAATAATTCTAATCTTTTGTAGTTTTTACTGCCAAAAACATACTCACTGCTAAGATAAATTGTTTGCACAGTACTTTATATATGTGACCCAACAAAGGTATGATGTATGAGTGCATACAAACAAAGGTGTATGTGTGTGTTTTAGAGAGTGAATATGACCAGCCTGCCCCTCTGGTCCTCTATGCTTCATCTCCTCTTTGCCAGTCACAACTGAGTATAGGTAAATCATCAGTGCAAATGAATTCTGTCATAAATGTGCCATAAATTATTTATTACCATTTAATGAATGTTACATTTGATTAGAAATCATTTATTTTCCTGCAGGCACTAATTTTTTTTGTCGACATTCTTTCTTAGATAGCTATGCTGAGAGTAGTTCAGATAAAGAGACACCAAGCCAAACTGTGGAGAAGGTGCAGCTCCTCTCACTGGAACCCGTTAGTCCAGTACTTCAGAACTGCTCACAGATGAACCTGGAAGGATCCCTTCAGACACCCAGAGCCATCAGCAGCTCTCTGGCAGTTCAGAAGTATGGATAAAAATTGTGTTTTTGATTTGACTAAACACTTGAAAAAAGAAGGTTCTTCAAGTGTTCTTTAGTGAAGGCAATGGTTCTGTTTAGAACTATGAGTTTCACACACGCGTCCACTTGAATCTGGAGTGTGGAAACATGTTGGAGTGATTAATCACGCTTCACTACCTGGCAGTCTGATGGACAAATCTCAGTTTGGCAGATTTAAGTGCAACACACTTAAAAACAATGGTTCTTCAAAGGTTCTTTAGTGAAGGCAATGGTTCTATATAACATCACAAAGGGTTTTTCTATTGTTACAAGCTTGACATTATAACAGTAGAAGAATCCTTTTGGTGCCATATAGAACCAAAGAAGGCTTTTTTTCAGATTTACAGCTTACAGTTTCATTATTACAACATTACATCTAAAAACTCAGAGGACACGTGTAGGTTCACTGGTCAATTTGGATAGTAAATAAATGGCTATATTTGCATAGTAGACGCTGTGACCCCTGGTTCACCACTGCTGTAAAAAACTCCAAATGAACTTTGTTAGCATCTCAATGACTGGATTATGTAGAAATTTTAAAAAATGGTGGAATTCCCCTTTAAGACCAAATTTTTAAAGACTTTATGTCTATATCTCAAACAAAAGAATATAACATTTTGCACATTATCTATTGGACACAATGGCATTATTTCCCAAAAATATTAAGCACTTCTGAGATGCTCAGTTGGGAGGCCTTTATAATATTAATCCTAATAACTGTTTCCAGTCTTCCAGTGTTGTTGGTTTTATCTGCATCTTTATTTTGTCAGATTGTACTATTGAAGAGGAATCCCTGGACTGTGAAGAGCTGAGGGTAACCACGTCCACTGCATGGGTCGGCCCACCACCACTTGAGTTCCAGCAGGGGGAGGAGTCAGTGTGTAAAGAGCTCCTCCTTCATTCAGCTCACTCTCATATAACTTTTAAAGAATTTGTGAGGGAGCAAGGCAACTTGAGCAGCGCAGTGGTGCCAGCAGCTGTTCTAGCAGGATACACAGGTGTGACATTGAAACAGCTAGTAACAGTTCTACACTATTTCTTTGCATTCTTGCTCTGTCTGCTGAGTAGAATGGTCCTTTCTCTCAGGCACTCAGCAGAATGCTGTCCATGCTGTTTCTTATCCAACAGGAAGTGGACCCATTCAGCTCTGGCAGTTTCTGTTGGAGCTGCTCACAGATCGCAGCTGTCAGTCAGTCATCAGCTGGACAGGAGATGGATGGGAATTCAAACTGACAGACCCTGATGAGGTCAAGCTTTTAACACTATTAGTTCCCTGAGTAGCGTATCAAAAGTCCACAATACTGTATATTACAGATGAATTACTGGTATATTTACTTTATATACATTTTGTAGAACAAGCGCATTCTGTACATATCCTTTAAATGGCCCATATCATGGAAAACTGCATTTTCCTTGATTTATCATGTAATAGAGTTTGAAGTAGTTTGTAAACAAAGCTTTAAGACATTCAGTCAATATATAGCTGCGAAACTGCCTGCTTAGAGTTCAATATGGTGCATTTGATTTAATTAATTTAAAATTTTAAATCATGGCACATTTTAGATTTTATGTTTTTTTTCCAGCAAGTAAATAGAAATTGTGCCATATTTAAGTGAGGATGTGTTAATTTATTTTAATATATAAAATCAGCAAAACATGACATTTGACCAGGGATGTTCAAACTTTTGCATATGGTTGTCCATTCATTTCACATGTAAAGGTGTCAGCCAGTCAATACAGACATTGTTTAAATAAATCAGTCTTAAAAACATAGACTCAAATTAAACTTTGTTTAGTTCTAATGGATAAATAGAGGTTGTAAAATGCTTGTGCAAAAATGAATTTCGACTGTTTTTGGTACATAAATCCATTTAAATGTTATAAGTTGACTTAAAGGCAAAATATTAAATATGAACATGTATGCCTTCTATGAATAATTATATGTTTAGCAAGTAGGAGTTATTTGAAATGACCAATTTTATCTTAATCCATTTTCATGTTGTGTCACAGGTAGCTCAGCTGTGGGGCCGGCGTAAGAACAAGCCCAAGATGAATTATGAAAAGCTGAGTCGAGGATTGCGCTACTATTATGACAAAAACATCATCCACAAAACCGCCGGCAAACGCTACGTCTACCGATTTGTCTGCAACTTACAGGGCCTGTTGGGTTACGAGCCTGGGGAACTTCATGCCATGCTGGATGTGCCTTCTAATGCTAATGAAGGCTCTGAGTGATGAGGTCACCACTTGGACAGAGGAACTGCATGTAAGATTAAGAAAATAATGGTGCTCCTGGTACAGAATCTGCTGTTGTCATTTGTAATAACCTAGGCTTCTTGTGAGCAAATGTGTCACGGTGGGTGTTTACAGTTTGGAATGTGACCAAATTTGAGGTATTTTCAGATATACCAGCCAGAAAACAACTAAAAGAGCTACAGTGACATATGTTGGTTACAGAGTCTCATTTAAGGATTTAGACCAATTACTGAGCTCTTACAAAAGTTTGAAATTGCATTTATATGTAGAACTTTTGTATATAAAACCTAACCAATCATTTTAGTGTTAAAGATAGAGAAGATTGGTTCAAAATAGCTGTGAGTATTCATGATGGAATTCTGGATTCTCTATTTAGGTTGGTTATTTATTTATTCATTTATTTATTTATTTATTTGTTTATTCATTCATTCATTCATTCATTCACTCATTCATTTACTGTCAAAGACCAATAGAAATGGTCCAAAATGACTTGAAGTTAAATCTCTTTGCAAGAACTTTCTTTAAAAGGTAAGGGGTTTTGCCTTTTCTGGTAAAGGTAAGTCAATTAGTACATTAATATATTATATTATGTATTTGAAGAATGCAGCGGCACTGGTGTCTTAATGGGCGGATAACATGCTTTACACTGTAGCATTAAATAAAACTCGGCTGTTGGTTTTTTATTCGAATGAATAGTGCAGTTGTGTATGTGCAAATATGTGGTCAATGATTGTTCAGAAATAGTAAATAAAAACACTTTCCACTGTAACATGTGAAAGAAGCGGTATGGCGGAGAGTTGTGCTAATGGATTGTAAATGATGAGCACTCTGCTGCTCACCAGCCTGATCTTTACGCCTCTGTAATAATCAAGCTTGAGTGCAGGACAAACAAGCAGAGAGGAGGAGGGAGTGTGTGTTAGTGACTCATGGAAAGTTCTGGACAGAAATCATTAAGAATGAGTGTTTATCTGAAGGGACGTTAAACCTTGGAAATTGAGAGATATTACCCTACTTTTGCTATACTATTCAATAGTAAATGCATATTTAATTACATATTCAATGAAGTCATTATTGAATTATATTTATATTTGATTTGCATTCTGTATTGACAGCTTTGAGTCTGTTTTCCAGAGGGGAACTGTCCGGGCCTTGTAGGTCTTCAGAGAAGGCCTCAGATTTTGGTGAAGTAAAAATTGCTAAGTATAGTAGTAATGCTCTTTTTTAATTGTTATGCTTTAGTTGGAAACAAAAGGGTTCAATTCTTGAATTGGCCAATGGACAATGATCCAATCAGGATTTTTTTTTCTCTGTGGTGTCTAGGTACATACAGCCAAGCCACCTCTCTTAATGGTTATGATTTCAGGAGCTGAACTGAAGTCCTGACACGCCAGATCAACCACTGGTATAATTAGAAACTGACAGATGAATCAACCAATTGAAAATGTCACATTTGATTTACAATTTTGAGTGAAAAACATCACTCTAGAGCTGCATTCTAAAAGCTAGGCTGCAGCCAAGAAAGGTGGGTCCATGGAAACTGGGAATGACTTTTAAATGTCCATATTTCATCTAAAATGGGCCAATAAATATTAATGTGAATCGCTGTTAGGTTAGCGCTAACATACTAATAGTATCCCATAGGGGTGCTTATTTTCTCAGTTTGGACCAAGCTTTGATATTTATGGTGTGAACTGAAAGCCTAGCTCTAATGTTTAGTTAGCCTCTGATAAAAGCTCGCAAAAATGTAAAGGATGTTTTTTCATGTGGCACAACAAGAATATACAAACAACAGTAACTTTTAATAAAAAAAAGGTTAGTAAAATGCCGCATGTGTGTGGAGGGGTGGAAGGAAAGCTGGGGAAACACACACTGGGAGACATGGACACTGTTATTTTCTCTGAATCTCTCTGTCTCTTGCCCCTCACCCACTAGCTGTGATTTTCCACATGGCCAGAGCTCATGAGAGGGAAAGTGGCAGAAGTAATCCCAGCTCTCTTAAAAGTGCTATAAGTGGGTGTGTGCTCTTGCTCACCCTCTCTCTCTCTCTCTCTCTCTCTCTCTGTATCACACACACACAGTGTGTAAATTCATAAGGGGACGCTTGATTCACTCTCCATGAAGTCTTTAATCCAGAATATGTCAACTTGTCTAAAAGGTTAAAAGCTTTATTCATATATAGTGTAAACATCCTTCATTGGTAAAACACCAGCACATACTGACCAAAAAAGGAAGAGAGGTACCAGTAAGAAAATCACAACCTGCTCTGTTTACTACCTTACAGAAGCTGGAAATCACTGTTTTCAATCATATTCAGGGCTTGATTTGAGAGGATGCCATTCTCCCAGTCAAAAAATAAATAAATAAAAGGACAAAAACCATCACCTATGTGAAACAACCACCGGCTTTAACCTAGTTGCATTAATATGATATCATTTAAGATGCCTATTATCAATATTTTCATCCATACGTGACATTTACACACTACGAGAGTACCTACAGATAGTATTATTTAGAATTGGGGGCTCTAACTTATGCTATTGACTGTGTGATATAGCACTCACACTTGCTGTCAGGATTTCTAGGTTTGCGGTATTTTCCTGTCAGATTGAGCTAGTTAGAAAGTGCAGTCCAGGAGAAAATTAAAGTTTCAGCTTCTGTTGGATGGCTTTCAAGCAAATTTAGGACTGGCGATTCTAGCTGGACCTGGCAACCCTGCCCACAGTAAAGTACGCTAAAATTCTGAAAGATCTGTGGACTGTCTAATGACAAATAGTAGGTGATGCTAACTGACCACAGCAGAGCTTACAAAGGTGATATGATTCAAAATCTCAAAGATCGAAACACTGTGTGTATCTTCAAATACATTTTTTCCTGCCCTCTCCCCCACTGTAAATTCAACCCACCATCGTCCAAGAACATTTTTACCACTGGTAACATTCACCACTTTTGTGGCAGCTACATGTGATGCTAGTGCTCTGTACATTCATTTTGTAGGAAGCTGTCAAAAATGAAGAAATTACAATAAATAGATAATTACAGTACATTATTTATCAGTTAAAAACTTCTTGCTGTTCCCCCAAAGCTTAACATATTTAATAAAACAGCTGAAATACTTTCTGGTTAGTTTGCAACTTTACAGTTTAGTTATTAGAGATTAAAATAGTTTGGGCACCCCTGGTCAAATGACATTGTTTTGACTGCAAATAAGGTCCTCCACAGAGAACACACTCCTGCACATTATAATGCATAATTACTGTTTATTTGACGAATTCAATTTATCATATCTGAAAACAAACATAAAATGTGGCCTGTGCAAAAGTCATGATACATTTTATATTTTATGCATTTTTTTTTTCAAATATAGAAATTGTGCACTAAAATTTTAAGAAGTTTGTTCCATGTAGTAGATGCAATAACTTGTTTTCATTTAGAAAATTAATAAAACATGTAATTTGACTGGGGTGTTGAAACTTTTTGCATAAGACTGTAACAAGAGTTATTAATATGACAAGTGCTTCCAAACATTTAAAGTGTAATGTCCTTCTAATAACTCATCTGGACATCAGATGATTCCATAGTATACAGAACCTTCTATAGATTGTATTTATGTGATGAATTTCTGGCGTTCTGCTCTGGGTTTCTTACAGGCTGGACTCTGGTAGGGATCTTCTCTCTTTGCACATTCTGTTTCACTGTCCAGGCAGATGTAGCAGAAGCGATGAAAGCATTCAGGGCACAAAACAAATTTACAGTCCGGCTGGGGTGTGATGAGTGTGTAGCACTGAGGACAAGCCCGAAACACAGGGCAGCCCAGAACTGAACTGCCAGCATCCGTCACAGTCTCACATGCCAGCAGGGTGGCCACTACATGACAGGATCGGTTGCTGCACTGACCGGAGCTGGCAGCGTTAGGGAAGACCCACGGGGCGAGACAGGACCAGCAGAAGTGATGAGTGTGAGGACAGTGCACACAGCTGGAGTAAGGGCAGGGGCGCCGAGCACTGTCCATAGGGCGACGCAGGATACTCAAACAAACTGGACACTGCAGTAGAGAGAAGTTATGATCATAAGTAGTAAAAAATACAGAGATTCTGCATAATATGCTACATTTACTGAAATTAGATGGTTGTACATTTTTGCTTTCAAAAAAGTTTCACAATGAATACAACTCCTAAGGGATAAAGACAGTAGTATCCATATTTGGTGCTCCACAGCTCACTCACCTTGAACAAGTCTACTCTACACAAATTTTACAACAAATAAAAAATCTCACATCTTCCAACTGTCTTTGGAGATTTTTAAAGAGCCCAAAAAAATGGAGAATGCATACTAGATATTTAGAGTCACGCAATACCCAACTTGGAATGGAACTTGATATTTGATTGATATTTTTAATTAATGTAATCAAATAGATTAACTAGGATACTGTTGGCTTTCTGCGTGTGAAATGTTGTGACTCTGTGTTGAGCTGATAGTGAGCAATGAGGGGTGAAATGGAAAGTGTGAGAACCCCCTTTCATTAAAAACAATTCACACCCTCCACAAAGAAATGCATGCCAAGAAAAAAACAAACAGCACAACTGCAGCTTTCTTGATACCAAAAAATGTGCACAACTTCCTAAATAAAACAGCTTTTAAAAGTGTAATTTGTAAGATGTTTAGTTTAAAACATTCCAAAATGAACTAAATTGTCACCAGAATGTGAAGAAATAGCAGTTTTGTCAAAGATGTCTATGTATTGTGTTGCATGTATTGTGTTGCAGAGATATCTACTAATGTTAGCATGCTAACCAGCTAGCCCCAGCCCTCTTGGTACCTCAAGAGGCGATAATGAGTCACTGCAGAGTCGAGTCTCCTATCAGTCCAACATGAGAGGATGAAGAACTAGCACTGCCCCAAGGGCATATTCTAACCTCTTGTCAATCAGGTTGAAGGTATAACACCCCTTGGTAGACCATTATAGGACACAAAGCCAATGAAAAGAATAGTAAACCTATAAGGACTTTGAGTAAATGCAATGACGGCTGAAGTGAAGAGAAAAGAAGTGTCATAAAAAGAAGCAAAACAAGAGTTATCATTGGCATTGCTTTCCACAACTGGAGACAGCTCTTGGAGAGTAAAAGGATGAAGTTTGAACTCGCAACATTTCTTCTAGACTGGATAGTAAACAGGGGAGGAGTGATAAGGGAGGGTGATATGTTGCCCCTTATTTGTTTGGAGTGTGGAGTATGAATTTGACAGGTTGCAGCATAATACATATTGCTCCTTTAAACACAACAAAGCTTACAAATGTTGACATGAAAATTTAGTTCGCTTCTGATTTTGTAAATACATACACATTTCTATCGAAATATATTCCACCACAGTTCTACAGACAGGCCTCCAAATCAGGTGGAAATTTCACTTTAAAAAAGTGAAAAGTGGTTTAACCAGCATACACTATACTGCACCCATAAGCATTTAAACAGTCTAAAAAAGAGAAAAATCTCTTCAACAGTAATTCATACAGGAGCTATGTTGTAAAATGTTGTTACAGCATAATCATGCTAGAGAATGTGAAGTGCTGGCATTTTTAATCGAACTTGAAAGGTGCAGTAGTATAGATGCACTGAGATTTATATCCATGCATCATTATTTTTGTTTGTGTTGAGAACAAAAACACAACAGGCCTGAAAGTAGTTGAGGAGGCAGGAAATTAAAGTATGTGCTGCTCACAACCTTTTCCATTTTCTGTGCTAGTCATCAACCCAAAATGGACATGTTCCAGAATGGATTATGACTCTAATCAAGCTAGATCTCATACAATGTAATCTTAGCTTTAAATAACTTCTTCTTCCAGACTGAGTGGAACCTGCTGTGACCTTGCTATGAGACCACCTGCTATGGCAGGAATGGCGCCCTTTCACAAACAGATGTGTCAACCGTTTTTAGAACACACTGCTTACAACACATTTTCAGCCTTTTATGTAGCCCCAGTACACACAATGGACACAAATGATGATGTAACCTTTTAAAAGGTGAATACACATGAAGTAACTTCAGTATTTATCTGTGCCTATTTGGAAATACACTTGAGACATGCCTGTTTTATTTAAACTCTGCAAGTATTGTAGTAATATTCTTATTTCATTGATAAGTTTTGACTGAAAAGAAAAATTAAAATCTTGAAAATTGTCCTTTGGGGGATTTCTTTTCTAGGAAGATGCAGTGAAGAAGCTCACCCATTACTTAGGAGTTCAGGAGCTGAATTGAAGGACCTACATGTCAAATCATCCATTAACATAATTTGAAATTGACAATGAAATCAACCAACCACATTTTGATTTCCAATGGGACCAATTTTGTGAAAGAAAAACCTCTAGGCACATTTGGAAGTCTTAGATACGTCACTGAGTGTAAGTGGTAGCCTGAGCAATGCATTTCAGTCAGTTATTTGAAATGGAAAACATTGGCTACTCTGTGTCAGGACTTTTTCATGAAAAAGTCTACAAAAAAACTGCTTGTTATCTCTGTTACAAGCTTCAAACAAAACATAGAATGTTTTTTACAAGCTTTAAATGTCCATGTTTAATCTAGAACAGCCAAAATATGTTTGATATGTATGAACTTTAGTGTTATCATACTACTAGAATCCCACTAACAGCTTTTTGATCATGTTTTGACATTTATGGCTGAAACTGAAGGCCTAGCTCTAATAGTCACAGTTCGCCACTGATTGGGTAATCTGTCAAATACTAAAAGTGACACAAAAATCTAGTGTAAATCTTTCTCCACTACAAAACAGAAGGAGCAGGTCATGTTCGTAGGAATAAACTGAACTTTACAGAACTGTGTTTTGTTCATGCTGGATATCATTGGTGCCTCAGTTCTCAGTAGGAGCTTAATTCATTTAGTACAAGAAAATAAATCAATAGAAATTTGAATTAAAGCCATTTAACACATTCTCTTTATGTGAGAGCACTCTGTGTGTGATTCATAAGCACAGGACTAAAAGCCTCCTTGAGGCTACAATCTCTGCTGTCTTTATGTGAGGCAGTGGGGGGTATCTGCATATTAAGTCACGCATCAGCCAACATTACACACACATTTAGCATGTATGAATAAAACATCTGTCTTCACACCACTGATATTAGTCATGCATCCAGGCCTAGAGATAATGTGGTGGAGCTCAGTTAAAGTCAGCACTGTATTAACACCACCACAATAGCTTATCTTTTCAGTTTTGTACAGAGCGTAGAGCATTTCACAATGATATCCAATCAACTCTGTCTCAAAAAGTCAATGTTTCCTATGAATAGTTTCTTATGTCCTAAGTGATGGAGGGATGTCTCCTTTTAATCAGTTTGAAATGGGTTTTTGTAGATAAGATAAACAATGTAGCTCAGTAACTCACCTTCTTGTAAATGTCAGGCAGGTCCTGTATGATGCGGTTGACCTGTGTGTCCAGAATCACAGTCTGAGCCTGAGAGAGCTGGAGCTGACCTCTGACCTGAGACCAGCTCCACTCTTCCTCGCACACTGGACAACTGAAGTCTAGGTTTTTCTAAAAGGAAAAACGAAGACAGGAAAGTAATGATTCATCCCAATATCAAATGTACATAATGTTCCACTTATCCCAAATCTACCAATACATCTTCAGATATTGCACTGGAACAAAACTAAAATGATGTGAGACTGTATATGTTTTAGAAAGAAGTATAGACTAAATACAGTCTTCAAGATGCCTGTTACTGCTGCTTTTAGCTATTCAACATATATTTTGTTCATTTTCATAAATTACTCTATGAATTACAGTATGTATTTCAAAAATGACAGTATCAGAAACCATTTAAGCAAGTTTACTTGAGATTACTTAACAATTCAATGCAGCTTGAGGCTAGTTTGTCATTATTTAGCCATGTAGTTTACGTGATGTAATATGTCCATTTTTTAAGATTTTTATCTTTCTACACAATTTGATCTTTTCCATTTTATAAAAAGTTCATAGAAATGCTCCAAAATGGCTTGGAATAAAATCTTTTTACATTGAAAGTAAGGAATGTATTTGCCCTGTCCTGTAAAGTTACCATTTTGGAGATACATGTTTTTCTGCACACATACATTCACACTCACTTTCTTTAGGCACTGATTTGCCATATAAATGAGACTTGAGGATTTGACGATATGTCCACATGGGCTCTGTGGATGGACACCAGCTCCTGGACACACAGCCAAAATTAAGACACAAACATTACATAACCTCTCACTATGTTCATTTGCTAAATGTAGAGGTAACTTTGTAAGGAAACACTCTTTTACAGGGTAAAGATTAGAATATGTGTTTCTTTTAGGATCTAAAATGGTACATTTTTCTAGAGTACTTTTTTTCTTTGTATACATGTCCAACCTCATTTAAATGCTATTAGCTGATTAAGGTAACCTGATGTAAAAATGTAATAGGGAGGAAAATCTAATACTCCCTCTTTTCAAGGGAGTCCTTGCTAAAAGGATAATATCCATAGATGCATTTGTCCTCATGTAGTCAGAGATGACATGGTTGATTCTTTGTACACTTTAAATGACCCACATCAATTAAAATTTTCTCTTGCTTTTTTTAAATAAAGGAGCTTGAAGTCATATGTAAACACTGATAGGAGTTCAAAACATACCATTCACTAACTAGTCCACATATGGAAACTGTGCAGCAGTCTGTTTAAATTTGTTGTTTCACTCATGTCATTAGATTAATTAATTATATCCACTTATATAAAGTGGCTGGTCAATGTATTTGAAGTGAATCTCAGCTCCTTTAACATTCCTGTATGATACATGTAATTAACAATTAATAATGACCTGGCAAACTAATAAGTAGAAAACTGTCACAACTTGTGACAACTTTGTGACAGTAGGTCATTTTGTGCTTCTGCTCCATCTAGTTGCAGGCATGCTGCTGGAATGTTAAAACAAAAACACACTATCATTGCATCTCCAAGCCTGGCAGTTACACCCAATCATCTGCCACCTGGGGAAATTCCTTCAGTTTCAAAAGGTGACAAACACATCACATACGCCACATTTTCACTTTTACTTCAAGTTTTTACATTGAAAAACTCTAAATATAATCTTTTATTAACAAAGGACGTCAACTACTTATCATTTTGAAAGACTTGTCTTTTACTACATCAGTAAAAACCAAATGAATGACAAACTTAGATGCTTACCTTTTTGTCCTAAACTATCTGAACTAGGACCTGTCTTCTCCTCTACTTGTTGAGTAGCAGCATTATGATCACGTCGATGTCCCACACGTTTATTTCTCAGTTTCTCTCTTAAAACATTCTGTGTCTTTTTAAATACCGTAGATATTTTCTCCATTTTCTCTGAGCTCCTCAGTCGAGACAAACTTGAATGGTTAAATGGAAAACAGTACCGCCCCTAAAGAGGCTGAAGTGAAAATAAAAGTCACACGCACCCACAGTTCTTACTCAACAGATGAAGTACATGAAACTTTCCTTTATTCATACAAATATCATGTTCCAGTTTACCTTAGTTTCTCAGCAACTGTGTTCTTAATAATGTTTATTTGAAATATGAAGGTAAAGCAAAGACTGGATTATTGTAACATAAAATATTTTCAGATTAGAATGTGAATACTATGTGTGTGTGTGTGCGCATGTGTATGTATGTGTCACTGCTGTTTCTGTTTTTCCCACTGCTCTGGCGTCAAGGTCTTCTGCTCAAAAGCATGTATCTCTTTCAGTTCATTAGCAAGGCAAGTGTTCACCATCCTAAAGAACAAACACATACACAAGGTCAGTGAGTAATTTAGTCTAGTAACCCAGGCTTATTACATCCGGCTTACGTAATCTGGTATTCAGTATTTTTTATTATTAGTACAGTTATTCGTACATTTTTGGGCATTTTTTTCCAATTTTCTCCCAATTTAAGTCTCCCCCAGTCACACAATACTGACAACACTGGGGGATGTGAAGGCTGGCATAAGCTTCCTTTGAGTCAGGTGAAGCCAACCACCACACCTGTTTGAACTGCCTCACTGGACAGTTTAGCACACTCGGAGGAGAATGCTAACTGCTTATTCTGTTACATTAGCCAACAGATGTCTGCAACGGCTAGCATCATGCTACATGATGAGGGGAGAGGGAGGACCATATGACCCACCCAGTATGTTCTCTTTGACTCACGGCCACAGATGGCTGTGGCATCGCCAGGGATTGAACTTGCGATCTCCCAATGACACAGCCAATACTTAAGACAGCTTTGCCAGACTGAGCCCATTCTTGACTCACACAAGTGAAAAATGGTACCCTGGAGTTGCCGACAAGCATCCATAACAAATTGCCTTTGTATTCTTGTATTCTAAGTCTCTCATCCATGAATGACCATCTATAGGTCCATGATCAGCGTTTTAGCCCTTCACATCTCTATCCTTTTCTAAACAGCTCTCTATGAGCTGGAAAACATGAATGCATAGTGGATATTTACTCACTTTGATGTATGACATTTGTTAGCTCATTTCTGGTAAGACATTGTAGACGTATTTGTACACCTACTCAAAAGGAAAAAAGAGTGGGCGACAGAAACCGCAAATAACAGCAGCTCAATTTATAAACTATACTTCCCTTTGATGAACGCTCATTTATAAGGTTTCATACTCCTTCTGCACACACTCAGGAAACCCAAACTTCTTGTCTTGGAGGGCCAAAGTGTAATGTTTAAGGTGGGTCAAAAGCCAGAAAGGCAAAACAGTATACAAATAAAGAAGGTAGGTAGGTTTCAATTTGAGCCTTTATGTATTTTGCAATAGTACGCTAAATTTTGTTACTGAAATACAATAATTACAAATTTAAAAGATAAATTGATATTTACTGCATAAAAATTATATAGTACAAAAATGTTTGTCCCCTCATTGGGTGATGGGGTGGGATCAGGGTTAATTTTTGCAGGCCAAATAAAACATCCTAATGGGCCAACTTAGGCCTGTAGGCCAAACTTCAGGCAGCACTACTCTAAATTATACATTTTTTGAGAATTCTTTTGTTCTTGCTGTCAGACATAATTGTGATTTCTGAACACGTAGTACATATTTCCAACATTTATGGAAACAATATTGAGGTCTATGCCCTGTGCCCATTGTTATACAACTGATCGCTGTTCCCAGCTATATTCTCCAACATCTTACCTGTGCCTCTGCAACAGTGGTTTTCCTTCAAACTGAGGGGAAACTACAAGGACCTTAAAACTAGCAGCACATCTGTTTGGAGAAGTGTCTTCTACTTCCTAAGGCAGAAATGAGCATATATAAACACAGAGCAAAGACGCAGTGCTGTACGCTCATAAAACAGATGGTTCTTCAGGGGTTCTTTAGTAAAGGGAATGGTCCTATTTAGAACCATGAGTTCATTTCATGCTGGCTGTGGTTCTAAATAGAAACATTTTTCAGATTGATAGAGAATGTGTTGTATAAGGTTCTATAGAACTTTTCTGAAAATGGTTCTACATAGCACCAAAAAGGGTTTTTATTATTGTTCTGATGACAAGCTAGTAACAATAGAAGAACGCTTCTTGGTGTTATACAGAACTGTTTTCAAAAAGTTTCTGTATACAACCTTGCACAACACATTCTCCATTCTCCATCAATCTGAAGAATCATTTCACCATGCAAAGAACCATTTAAGCATGAAATGGTTCCATACAGAACTAAGTAGAACCATTTCATTTACTAAAGAGCCCTTAAAGAGCCATCTTTTTTAAAGTGCACATGAGTAACGTCACAGTCTGATGGTAGGACCATGATCACTATTCTCGCTGATACAGTCAGCAGTTGTAGTCCCTCACGTACCACGTGTACTGCACCAATTTCGGCGATCAGTTTTTCACGAATGAGCTCTGTGGTGATCGCCATCTCCGTCTAAACAGCTCGCGCTTTGTTTACAGCTCCTCTTCACTGAGCAGAGAGAGATAATTTAGCATGAAAAGCTTCAGCAGGAATTTTCAGCCCAAGTGCCGGGTGACCTAAGGAGGCGGGCACTTGAGTGAAAATATCCAATGAACGCGTTGGAAATCGATACGACCACGCCCTCATACATATCGACGGCCAATCAGATTGAGAGCTGTGCATTCGCGAGAGCGAACAAGGGTCCTTATCTGGTCCTTATAGCCGAGCCAGTTCATGAGGAGCCTGGCCACTTCCTATTCCCCCCGATATCAAAAACAGGATTTCTAAACAGCAGAGGGCGCCCGCGAGCGAGTCCTCAATGAATGGGAACAAATGGAGCTCAACGGCTAAAAACGAGAAGTTAACATAGTTTCTAATCACTCGCCCAGAACATTTCTTTAATTTTAGAAATTTATTTAAAAATTCTTTAAAAAACCAAAGAAATCCTACCTATATTTCTCCTTTTTCTACAGCAAACGGGTTTTGGGCAGCAGAAGGCGGGCATTACTGCTAGAGCGTGATGATTGATTGGCGAGCGGAGCAGCTCATTGGCTGTTCGCGCTCACTGACGTCATGAACGCACATGAGGCGCCGTTTTAAACTCCTATAACTCGAGTTTAAAAGCTCTTAAAAATATAACAGCAGTGTTAAAATGGTTTATGCTGTTTTGTGTTCAGTGAATGGTTGCATTCTTTTACATTAAAAATGTTTAAGTGTTTATAAACTATGAATTTGCTCAAATGCTCCATATCAACCCATTCATTTTGGACTCACTGGAGAGCGCCCTCTAGCGTCTGAAAAACCCGGAAGACATTACAGAGCGGTAATTCTCTCTACAAGTTCTCTGCTTATTGCCAACACGGGCTTCTACTGTTTTGCCCAACACAAACAAAAGCGTAGATACGAATTAACTCCGAAATAGAGAACTTATTCCCCAAATTATAGCAAAAACTAATGTCCATGATTATGTGGGTACTCTGCTTTATTATTTATTCCATTTCAGTGCAGTTTTTGTAATATCTGGCAGGCGATATCTGGGCATAGCTAACGGCCAAGCGGTTTTGTTTTCAAATTAAAGGACCGCCTTAAGCGACCGCTGATGGCTTTAGTAAGTTCTGTTTCTTGAACGTATTATTTGATTTCTTTCCTTTTCTTTCTTTATTTTTAAATATTAGGTTCCTGTACCCGACTATCTGACCTGTCATCTTATTGATATTACTACAGCTGCGTACATGTTAGGCTTCTTCCAGCGAGCGGTAGGTAAGGTTAAATATCTCGTCAACACTGAAGATCCAGCACAGCTGAGCTGCTGTGAACTGTGTGAGTTATGACCGCTCGGTTCATCTCGCAATGGAGGCAAAACTATAACACAGAACACTCATACACAGCTTCATGAGGGTCACTTACCATGGTGGTGGAGGTGGAGAGTTTCTTTGGGGTGTATATGCTGTACTGTACCAACCCGAAATTCAAGGGTCGCATCTACATCGGCTTCACTGTAAACCCCGAACGGAGGATCGGCCAGCACAACGCAGGACGACACAAGGGGGGAGCGAAGAGAACCAGCGGCAGAGGCCCATGGTAAACACCACAGACTACTGTATACAATAGTCTACGATAAACACGTATCGATTCTATCCTATGACAGTGGTTACGCATTCAGTGCTGATTTATTGGTGATCCTTCTTGCTCTGTTGAGAATGATGTTCTTATTACTCTGTAGGGAGATGGTCCTCATCATCCATGGATTTCCCTCAGATATTGCAGCTCTAAGGGTAGGTTTGCGTTCTCACTAAACCGCTTTCAAATAAATCTCTGATTGCCTTTCGTTCTCCCCCATCTCTTACTGGGTTAGTGAGTAGATTTTACCTGTTATTATGGAAGATTAAATTAGGTATACTCTACCCCTGAAACTTATATTTTCTGGCGACGTTTCGTTACAATTTCACTAATATTTTCAACCTCTGCGAACGTTTCTGGGCCTATTTCTATTTCCACTGTCTACTGCAATTCATCTCTTACCCACTGGCGTGAAAAGCAAGTACACTAGAGTGAAATTGTAAATAAAGCTACATGGAGAGTAGAGCTGGGCGATATGGCCGAAAACGTTATCACGATAAACAAAATTCATATCGCTCGATATCGATACATTCCGCGATAAATGTCAAATCATGATTTCTTTCACGTTTGAAGGCTGATTTTGCTCCTGGGTGGTTAATTGTGGTTTTAAACTATCACTTATGGTCCGATCATGACAAACACTCGGCAAACAGTGGAACATTTCACTAATCTGTCATGGAAGAGTGGGAGAAAGTTTCTGAGCTGTTTTTATCAGCTTGAAAAGCACAGCTGCAATTTTTGTAATAGTCATGATTTAAGAAAGAAAACAGATTATTTTCAGCTGTCTGGAGACGAGCGCTCGGCTACCCCGTTACAAATGCTAAACAAGTGGCCAACAACAGAGCTAAACTCTTTAGTTTCTCAACAACATCAACTCGGTTCGGTAGGTCACTGCTGTCACTCCTACCACATCCATGTCAGAGCAGATCACAGTATTCAGACACCAGCTAGCGACGACTGGATTTCCCTATGCTACCGTAATAGTTTAAGGGGTGAACCGCAGTATATCTTACGTTCGCTGTGTAAAAGCATTATCTGCAGTGTGAATCTCTCACACCAGTCACAGAGTCCTCCTTTTAGGTATGTTTAAACTGAAAGCGGTGATTTTGTGTCTTGTTTGATCTACCGTATCATCAATTCACCGTGTTGTGCCGGAGCGCCGCTTCAAGTTAGCCAGCAGCTAAAAAACAGCTAGCCTGGAAAGATAGCGCTCTCCCGCTCTCCAATGCCTCACAGCTTCCTCAGTTTACTTTCGAACATGAACCCACTTCTTTCTTTAATTTTTGTTGCTCGAGAATGCACTAATACTAAAATATGACGGTTGGCGCTGTAACACGGCGCTGCAGACAAGATTTAACACCGCTAAAGTTGTTAGGATGCACGGAAAGAGGTGAGTTCGCTGTAGGACAGTACAGTTACACCACTGACCTCGTCACTCACACTCGGTCACAGGAGAACAGATCGCCGATAACATCCACTCAAACAGGGAATGTATAACTCCGCGTTTCAGACGTTGCTAAAGTATATTTGGCGACCCTTTTTTTACACGTGGCCCCCTCCCTCTCTAATCAAGTCAAAAAATTCGGAAGTGCGCCCTCTCCTGGCGACAGCAGAGTAGTGTTGCTTTCCTTGCAGTAGAAAACGCCACCAGGGCTTTCGCTAAAACGTGGAAGTGTGAGAATGGTGTATTATATTGAACATTTATTGAACCTGTCTTATCGCTCTATCGAGGAAAAGTTATATCGCGATACTAATCGTTATCGTTTTATCGCCCAGCCCTAATGGAGAGGTAGATGAATTGAGAAAAGGTCATGTGTTAAAAACATCTGTCCACAGATACGGCAGTAAAGTGAAGGCAGGTAATGTCTAGTCAGGTCAGATAATTAAGGAGGCTATTGTGTAGGCCGCCTCAGTTATATGATTAATGCTGAGATAACTTTAATGGGGACCTATAGTAGCCCGTTAAAGAAAACGCTGTTAAAGAAAAATGGTCCACATTTTGGGATTGTGTTCATTCTCCTGGTTGCGTGACGTGACAAAGTAAATGCGCACCATGTGATGATGGCCAGGGAGAGCACACACAGACAGAAGCATGGATGGATCGTGGAGCTTTATTTAAAACATACTGGTACCAAAACAAGATAACTAAAAGCCTACTCTGGTACATGCACACAAACTCCTCCCTGATTCATCACAGCTATCCTTAAAGTTCACTTGAATCAGGGATCACAAAACGTTTTCCTTCCATACTGGTTTGTCTTGGTGATGGTTGGGGATATTATGGTTGGGGTTAATGTTGCCCTCCCCCAACTGCTGGTTCAGGGGATGTAATCTGCCCTGCCACTGGTGCACGATATTGTAATCCCTACGCTGGTGCAATGTCAGGGTTGGGAAAAATGCTTTGAAAATGTAGTGATGGCTGAATACTGAATACACTGACCAAAGTGTTTTCAGTAATGTATTCTGTTACTATATATATGAAAAAAAATTCATGTTCAGAACACATTTAATATATTTAGAATGCATATTGATAAGGCAAGGAGGAAAACTCTAATTTACACAGTTCCTCGCTGTTACTACTTGCTAGTTTGCTTCATGTAATTCATCTGTTAATATCATCATGTTTCATGGAAAATGTGCTTATCAATTAAAGCAAGTTCTGAAATGTGTAACTTTTTCAAGAAAGTCACTGACCTTCAATCAATGATTGCGGAAAAGATGGTCTTTTAAATGGTATAGTATTATTGTTTGTGCTTAATATAACTACGCACATGAACTAACAAAGGGAAAAAGTGGATTTGTTTTGTTTTTAGGTTGACTTTAATCGGGAGGTGGATCACTTGACATTTGACTGTGGTTGTTTGGCAGCTTCGCCTCCGGACCATCATAACCACCACTCATGCTATATTGCATTGAAGCTTTCCTATCAATATTTACCTAATAGGTTGGACTTTTACGTATGCACATTTCATTCTGCCAGCTGTTTGCCAGCCAAACAGTGGTTTTCTGTGATGATCTGTGTGTGATTCTGCTTGTGGAGCAAACTTGAGAGGCATCACTATTGCAGGGTTTGGCCATGTTATAACATATTTTTAGTTCACATACACGTGACTGACTTGACCGGAAAAATAACAATCACAGAAATGGCATTGATTATAGATTTTGTGCAGCCATAATCTAAGACCACCACCAGCCTATTTTTATGATGCATGCAGTTCCTCAGTGTTGCAGAAGTACTGACAGTTGTATACTCCAAAAATCGTACTGTGATGTAATAACAATAAAATCTTGGCATATTGCTCAGCCCTAGACAACAAGTATCAGACCTGCTTTTGTTCTCAACCCTCATGCTGTGTGCTCTTTCATCTTGCCTCAGTTTGAGTGGGCATGGCAGCACCCACACATCTCTCGGCGGCTCTCACACGTGGCCCGGCGCACTCGTAAAGAGTCCAGCCTGCAGTTCCACTGGCGCGTGGTCTCCAACATGCTGCGAGTGGCACCATGGAGCCGCCTCCCTCTGACAGTGCGCTGGCTGAGGCAAGAGTATCGACTGGACTTTGAACCTGGTCTGCAGCCACCTCTACACATCCCTTTGACCTTCGGCTGCGTCAGGGCCAAGAAGAAACAACAGCAGCAGGAGGACAAGGAGCAGCAGGAGAGCGCGGTGGAACGGTGTCTAGTGTGTAGAGAGATTGTGAAGGTATGTTTACACCTGCATCTTCATGTTGTAGGCTTTACCTTTTTGTTTCTGTGATAACCGATCCTAGCAAAGACTGTGAGGGGAAAATAAAGTTATACTGAGATTTTAACTGTCCTGTTGACCATTTGCAAAATAATAAGCAACACACACCACTCCACCCCCGCTGTCAAGCAAAGTAAATACTGACAAAACAAGCCTGCAGTGAGAACAGTGATGGTATTAGAACCCCATTTCCAAAAAAGTTGGGATGCTGTGAAAAATGTAAATAAAAACAAAACGCACTGATGTGCAAATCATTTAAACTCTATATTTCATTAAATATAGTACAAAGACAACAAATCAAATGTTGAAACTGAGAAATTGTATTGATTTTTGAAAAATGAATGCCCATTTTGAACTTGATGCCAACAACTCATTCCAAAAAAAGTTGGGATGGGGGCATGTTTACTACCGTGTTCATCACCTCTTCTTTTAACAAAACTCTGTAAGCATTTGGGAACTGACTAGACCAATTGCTGCAGTTTTAAAGGGGAAATGTTTGCCCAATTTTGCTTTAGCCTAGAGGACACCGTGTCCATGATTTCTAAAACACTTTTCCACTTCCCCTCAGTCCATTTTAAATGAGCTCAGGCCCAGAGAAGGTGGCAGTGCCGCCTGGATCCTGTTTATGTACAGTTTCTACTTTGCGTTTAAGATTTTTAATTAGCATTTGTGGATGCAGCGAAACTCCTGCTTAGTAGATGTCAAATCTTGGCACTGTAATGTACAGTGACCGAAACATTTCTCTGGTTTGATTGATGTAAACGTGCTTTCCAGTGTTAATTTTTGTTTGTTAAATTGGCGTACATCCATATTTTGTTTGTTCTGTATGCCTGCACTGAACATAGAACCAGTTAATAAATGTTTTTAAAAGTACTCCTCTCTGTGCTTCAACATTTTTCTTTCAGTTACTGAACTTTTTAGTCTGTTAGCACAAGTGCTTTTGATGGAACCAGGTGGCCTTAAGCTGAAAGTTTGACAAACAAAGCAACAGTAACTAAGGGAGGCAAGACTTGTCAGAATTTTGCCAGTGATCAATCTGAAGAAGCAAGCAGAGTGAACGTTTTAATATCTAAGTTGTCAATCTTATCAGCATCCCTGAGCCAATAGGGATGCATGCTCCAAAATCTAGACTGGTGATTGGTTGTCTAAATTGCTCATTATAAGCGTTCAGGAAAACACATTACTAATGAGACACTTTGTTTCTCTCAGGCAGCAGACAGACTGTCTTGCTTCCATCTCTCCTGTAAGATGGTTTGCCATCTGATTTGCTTAGCAAAACATTTCCTAAAATCTGAGCCGACCCATCTCATTCCTGTAGAGGGGGACTGTCCTGGCTGCCATCGCTCAGTGCTGTGGGGTAATTTGATTCGCCACAGAAATGGTTGTTATGGCGATCTGGAAGAAATTTCTTCATATTCTTCTCAGGTAAGTACCTGCCAACCTGTGCTGTAGTTTTTTGTGGTAGTTGATCCCAGTGGTTCTCAAACTAGTCCTCAGGCCCCCCATATGGTCCATATTTTTGGTCTATTACTATATATTGCAAGTTAGGTCGGAGTAAAAACAAGGACCATCTATATGAAATTTGTATTCCATGTCTTAATGGCCATTAACCTTAACCTAATAGCCTTAATGGAATTAACACATTCCTCCCATTTATACTTTAGAGGGGCTCACTGACTGCTGGTGTGGGAGCTCACCAGTAGGTGGTGCTGAAGAAAAGAGCAGAAAAATTAAAGCCAGGAAAAACTTAGGAAAGGTCATAAATGCATTTACATCATCTACGGCGCTTTTATGGCCCTTACCTCCTTCCCGTGTGCTGCAGTAATATTTGAAGACGGTTTGAAGATATGAAACAAGTGAATACTGCCGAACCCTACTCTGGGGGGGCCCCACAAGACTGGTTTGAGAACCACTTTGTTATGGTGTTTTTCCACCAGGCAGTGTGGTGTGGTTACAAAGCCGTGATCACACATTTTGTTGTTATTTCTAATAAGTACTGTACCTGAGCACCTGTGCTCAAAATGTTCTCCCCTCTTGCTGGGGTGCCAAGCTTACAGATCTGGAACATGTGGAGCTAGTAATCGTGTGTCACTAAAAAAAAAACACTAAAATCGCCAAAATTGTCTGACTGTCATATAAAACCAAATGTAATAACAGGTAAATAAGAAGTTGAAGATCCTCTGTTGTTTTGTGTGCAAAATCATATTACCACACACACTAAAGAGAACTCTGCCTACTGTAATGTGGTGAGAAAAAACACAGGTACCATAGTGTAGATAGTTTTGGGTTCAGCTGAGTAATTGTACTTTGCTGTACCATACTGCTCTGTGGAAAAACACCATTCATGCCTGCCACAGCATAGCCTATGCAGGTAGTTATCACATTAGTGATAATTTATGGCTGGATTTTTAACATAACTCAAGACATGGCCTTTTATTAAGAAGCTTGGTTTGATAGGATTTCTCAATTCTGCTTTTTATTATTCTTCACACAGGGTCACTGGGCAGACGAGTTGCAAATATGAAGAGCATGAACTAAATATGATGCCTTTAACATGAGCTGCAATGAAGGCACAAGGATATAGTCCTGTTTTCACATTGGTTTTTACAGACTGAGATTCATCTGACGGAACTGTATTTATTAGTATTTAAAAAGCAGAAACTGCAGTCTTCTTCCGAGGTGCTCACCTTGTAAGTTTACTGTATATGGACAATGTAATAGTTGTTGAACCTCAGGCCAACTTGATGAATTTATGGTGGTCTTGAGATGCACCCAGTGCTACTCTGTTTGGCTGAATACAGAGATGATGCAAGTAGAGCAAAACCTAGAAATCTAGTGGTGAAGTATGTCTCATAGATATCTATAATTTCTATTTTACAATGAATTATTTGTAATGGTTTTTATACTGTCACTGCCCAAAAAACAAGATCTCAAATGGTGACTGTACAGGTGAAGGCAAAAACTTGGTTTACTTTTAATGTAAGTAAATATAACAATTTATTTAAGCAGTTTTGGAACATTTCCATTGGTCCATTCATCATGAAATTTTCACATTTCTCTCAGAACAAGATTTAGTAGTGGAGTTAAATTGGAGCAATGTCTCAAATATATAGCCACTGCTCCACATTCAACTCCACTACTGAATCCTGTTCTGATCTTTGTTGAGAATATTTCATAATGCAGACGTGTTGTGTACCATAAATCATGTGAAAAATATTTATTAAGCAATAAAGCAGTGAATTTATATTTAACACTAGAGTCTTCAGTGTTGAAATGCGAAATCCATTCAGATGCTGTTTCTTAAGTGTACATTTCACATGACATCTTTGGAATTGTTACTTATAATAGTGAACAAAGTGAGACTTACTAAGCTGCAATTAGAAAAGTTTTCTTTTCATGATGACCAAATTGGCGAGCCCAGTATGTGAACTTGCATAGCATTCAAACTGGAATGAAAGAAGTCACTATGCACTGTTCCTCCACATCCGAAAAAAAACAGGCTATTGCAACTTCCTCTGGCTCTGTTGTGCAGTAGAAGAAGACACTGTCAGGATTTACAGAGGTGCTATCTGTTACCATGTCCTTCAGAAGTATTACAAAGCCATCCTTGGCCAAGCTAAACACAAATTCAGGGACCATTCCTCCATGCAGAACCTCTCCAGATCACTGTGGACTCTTCTTCAGCTCATCCTACAGGTTTGGGTCAGGGGACGAGGGTGGCTGTGGCAAAACCTTAATTCTGTGGTTAATGAACCATTATTGTGTTGATTTTAAGTGCTTTGGTCATTGTCCTGCTGGAAGGTCCAAACTATGGCCCAGTTTAAGCTTACTGACTGAGGCAGTCAAGTTATGTTTTTCTTTCTGCTGGTACTTGATGGAGTCTGTGATACCATGTTTCTGAATAAATTGTCCAGGGCCTTTGGACGAAAAACAGACCCACAGTATCGCAGATCCACCACCATATTTCACATTGGGGGATTACATGGCTGTCATTGTTTCCATGCCAAACTCACTTCGGCGATTTGGCCTTATCTGACCATAGAACATGGTCCCAGTTTCAGTAGTCACAGAGTTTGCTGGTCGTTGACAGCAGAGACCTTCTACTGGCATCTTCAGGTGTTTTAAACCTCTTAATTATTTTTTAACTGTGTTGCTATTTTCTTGTGGCCTTTTTGCGATTTGTGCAACTGAACAACCTTTTGTGGCACATTATTGCTTTATTCTCTGGTCTTTCTCATAGGTTCTTCATGCCCAGAACTTAAAAATGAATGGAAAAATACTTCAGTTAGATTTTACTCCTAAGAATTTAGGGATGCCAACAATTGTGGCACACATAGATTTAAGAAAAATGTTTATTACATGACAAGATTTAGTTTTTCATTTCAATTATTATACTTTAAATAAAGGCTTGATGATAATATTAATTATAATTAATATTATAATTTTGATAATATTTTGGATGAAAGATCAAAAGGACAAGTAAGTAAGAAAGAATATTTTTGCAGCTCAATTTGCTCATGATTACCCATGGTGCCAATATTTACGGAGGGCACTGTCTTTATTACAACGTCCATTCTTTTCAGGAAACTGAAACAATGTGCTGGAATTTATTTCTACACCTCTGAAGTTCAGTTAAATTGCATTTTCTGTTTCTCATGATCCAAATAATCCCAAACATATTCAGTGATGCTAAGATTAGTACTCTGGGGTGGTCAGTCCATAATTCAGAGAACACCAGCTGCTGCTTTATTTGATCTGCAGAACTTTCTTCTGGTTTCCTTTTCTCAGCAATAGCTTCTTGACAACTACACATCCATTCAGACTCATTGTGTCTTTTCATAGTGGACAGAAACAGCAGTGGGTTTTTTTTTCAGATCTAAAGTAAGAGTGGAGATTGATTTTCTCCTCTCTCTCTCTCAAAGATAAAAGCACTATTTATCTGATGGTGACAGGTCTGGAGGTCTACCAAGTCTTGCACGGTTGTTGGTTTAATGATTTTTTTATTAAACTCCATTTGTAAGAACTCCTTCTATTTTTCCTCATATTTTAATAACTTGTAGTTGATGACTGTTTGACTCAATATTAAATGAACAAAAGTGGGGTCTCACTTTTACACAGTACTGTATGTACTTCAAAAATACCGGATGTTGGCATCAGCCCACGATTCCCATACCAGAGGGTCGTTAGTTATGATGTCTTGTAATCACAGAATTCCAAAGATGTGCTATTTTTTATGTATGTAATATAAATATTTCTTGTTCCTTATCTAAAACTGGAACCGAATATATATCTAGAAGCACTGGAAATATTCAGAACAAATGTTAAAACAATACACATTACATTTTTGCTTTTTGGCCAGACGTGACAGATGTACAATTGTTACTCTTCCACAACAACATAGTGTGAGTTTCATGAAACCATATTTTCAACACATCATTCAACTTTCCTGTAAGTGTACAGCAAAGGAATGTGAAGTACATCTTAGCTGCTAAGACCCTATAGTGAGCATGTTGGTATTGTACAGAGTACCTACAAAACACTAATAAATGTAGTAAATGAACAAGATAGATCATAGAATGATTCTGCTATCAAACTTTACTTCGTGCTGAACTGATCTTACAAAACCTGCTTTTATTTTGAGTTTAAATCTTATTTTCAGTTGTTTTGGATGTAGTGAAGTGTGATCAATGGACTAAACTTTATCCTTATTCCTTTAACAGTTTATTTAATTATTCACTATTCTGCTTTTACAGTCATATGCAAAAGTTTAGACACCCTGGTCAAATGGTTTCATTGATTTTCCAAGCAAAAATAAGTTAACACATCCTCTACACAACCTTTAAACTTAAATATGGATGTTTAACATATTGTGAAAAATAAAAATATAAAATGTGTCATATTGTTTGCACAAGCTACATTTTTATCAGTTTTATTTCTTTCTAATATGTTAAATTAAATGAATAAATAGTAATTATGCAATAAAATGTGCAGAATTGTCTTCCCTGTAGTGGATGTGTTTACTTCATTTCACTAAGAAAATCAACAAAATGTAATTTAAACCATAATATTGTAACTATTAAACTAATTGTGTTTTTTTTTGTATAGTTGAGTCCAAAGGTCTGAAATTACCAGTGAAAATACTTCTGTTTTGCAATTCAAATTAGATTTTTTTTTTTTTTTACCAGAAATTTCAGAATTTAGTCTTTATTTTGTCCCCTGTTGCTTTGATGGCAGTATGCACACATGCTGACATGGACTCTAAGTTTGTGCAAAAGCCTTTGTTGAATAGATCAAGTACACATGAGAGCCGTCTGAGCACAAACTTCAATGGAAGAGATAAGATTGAAAAAATACAAAGAAAAAAAGTCGTAACATGGCAGACTCTAAATTATTCACAATTGTAGAACTTTCTTTTGTTTATCTGCAGGTTTAAAGTGGTCTCAGACCTTTGGACCCCACTGCATGTGAAAGCACTGCATATTACAGCATATTGCATATATGCTGCTTCATTGCTCTTCCTAGTGGAAATTAAAAAAATGAATTAAACAAAACAGTGAAAAAAAAGTTGTAGAAAAGTCAATGTAATGACATGAATTTAAGAAATGTGATATAAAACCATAAAACACATTACAATAATTGCAAAAATATTTCCTTTATTGGAATTTACATAACATTCCTTATAGAGATAAGCAGTTTACAATTGAATATACAAGTACGCTTTTGCTGGACAAAACAAGCTCGCAGTGAATTAGTGAAGTGAGTCTGAAAGAGGAGTACTGCTTAAAACCACATTCGCCTATAACCCAAGTTGCTGTATTTAGGCCATGTTTACATACAAATACTTTTTTTTTTTTAAGTTGCTGTTATTCATGAGTAAAAATGTTAATATCACAATATCTGATTAAACACTGGCAAGAAATTCATTACATTTAATGTTACATTAATGTTTAATGTTACACATTCAGTACATACTTTTAATGGTGTAAATGTGTAATAAAATATTTGCAGTTATGTATGGGTTAGATTTAAACGAACTCAATATATGAACTAGATGGTTTGTTAAATGAATAGCCTTCACTGAGGAGCTGTGGGTGCGTTCACAACAATCATGGGCTGTAAGAAGAAACATGAGCAGAAGATAACACAGTTAGCAAACAACGGCATCTTGAATGGACAGAGAATATGGAATATTAGGTGTGTTTTACTGGGTTCTTACCACGCTAGTCTGGGGTGAGCAGCACTGAATCACTTTGCAGCAGAATGCAGCTAAGGTGGCAGAGATGGCAACCTGAGCTGCCTGACATAGCATTGCTAGTCCTTGCAGATGTGAATGTGCCTCCTGTGGATAAGCAGAATAAATGGTCATTTTTCCAGTTTACTAGTAGTACCCCTCTGTGTACAGTGGCAGATTTTGGATGTTTGGTTCATATCTACACATCAGTTTATTCATTCACAGCACATTACAGTAGGCTTAGCATTCTTGCTGTTAGCATTTTGCCACTCATTGAATAACTGCACTTCACACGCAGCCGTGCTCGCTGCCCGTTACAGATCTAAAAGGCCAGTCTAATAAAATATGAACGCTTTGGAAGCTGCATCATTTGTTGTTCCTTCTTCTGATCTGAAAACAAAAATATATGCACTGATTCAGCTTCCTCTCGAACCACTCATCCTAGGATGCTTTTAAAGCTGCCCTGGTGAAGGCTCTACCAAAAACATTAATATAGATCCTTCCATACGCAATAATTTTAGACCCATTTTAAATCTTTGTTTTCTGATCAAATTTTTAGAAAAAGTTGGTTTAAAGTATCTAATAAAATATATAATATCTAGTATTCAACAAATTATTTGAGAATTTCCAGTCATATTCTAACCATAGTACTGAGACAGGACTGGACCACAGGCTTAGTGCTAATGCACAAAATAATTCTATTTTAGTCTTATTGGATCTTAGCGCTAGCTTTCAACACAGTAAGTCACAAGTTTCTAATCCATCATCTTGAAAACTGGGTAAGCCTCTCAGGCACAGTTTTAGAATGGTTTAAATCCTAGTTAATAAATAGATAGCTCTTGGTTTTACTGGAAAATCATTCAGCAGAAATTATAACATATTTTGTGGAGTCCCACAGGGTTTAATTTTAGGGCATTTACTTTTCTCTTTGTACATGATCCCTGTATGTGATGTCATCAGGAAACAATGTAAATGTTTGTAGCTCTGCTGATGTCAATTATACATTTCCATTCCTTCTGAAAATCATGAAACTGTCTACAGGATGTTTTACATGCTTACCAGTTGTGTGTCAGATATTCCCAGTGTCAAGAAATCAAGAAAAAAGTGCATTCTTTGTACTAAAATTCAAAGAAAGCTTCTTTGTACTTTTGCTTCATATGCCACACCTGAAGTAAGAAAGATAGTATAAATCTTAAATTCTGAGTAGGGGTGTACCGATACCACCTTTTCTATTCCAGTATGGATACCTGATTCTTAAATATCTGCTGGTACTGAGTAATATATGTATGCTAATATTTATACAATTCCACTTTTTCAGTATTTTGTTTTGGTAAAAGCTGTGTTCTGTGTCACAATTCATATTTAACTCCCATATTTATCAAATGCAAGAAATTTGAAATATTTTGATGTGCAAAATAGCAAAAACAGAACAGAACTCAACATCAACCTGGACTAACATTAACCCTAAGAATGCATTGATACCGATACTGGTATTGGGTATCAGGCTGATACAGCGCTCATTTACTTGTGCTCATAAAAATTCACCGATACCAGCAGATACCGTTGGTCACTTTAAACATTCTGCCTTGGCTGATTTTCGCCATGAATACACTGTGATTTTAGCCTGTTTTAGACACAATCACAACTGCTTCTTATCAAAGTCCGTCTGTGCCGACTTTCCTCTGACTAAATACATTAGCAAGGTATAAATGTCAATATGCGATTTTTTTTTGTAAACTAGGCTGTAGAGAGTCCGTATTGTCTTACTGTGCACATCAATGCCTGCTTTAGCTTCAGTGCAGAGTGTTAGCAGCGCTGCTTAGTATCTCTTTGCTCAGTATTGAGTGTGCATTTTAAATGAAACAGCTTTATTTGAAACTGTCCATAAGACACAGTTGTCTGTAGAGGCTGCGTTTCATGTATAAAATCGTAGCCTTTTTCTGTACACTATAGTCTATTCAAATGTACAGTACAAAATAAAATCACCAAAGAACAAGATTTCTCAAATTGCACAGTGTATTTCTGGATTTAAAGGCCATTCAACTACAGCTCAAGCAGACAAATAAAAGACTCCCAACAAGACGTAAAACTCGAAACATGAGTTCCTCAGATATAACAGCCTCGGATGCGATTCATGCTGCTGCTGTGCAGAGACTTGTTGAAAGAGAGAGGCAAGGATCAAAACTATGACTGGTACTTTACTTACAGTTGTACAGAGTGCTTCTTTGGCTGCTACTTCTCCAGCGCTACTCAAACACAATAACTAGCTAATGCACATCATTTAAAATCAGCTAGATCTTAATGATTTAACTGTTAAGGCACATTTCACTTATTTACACCAACAACTACTTCATTCCAAGTAGGTTGCTCGGTATGGTATCGGACTCAGTATCGGCAAGTACTAAAAAATATGTAGATGCTCTCGTACTCTGCCTGCAAAAACTAGTATTGATGCATCCGTAATTAACTCAGACACAGAAAGAATTCCGTATATCTCCTACAACTATTGCCTTCCTTCAAAATACTGTCATTAAAGATTTTGTCATGAGCATTTTTGCAACTGTTTATCAACATATTACATCTTCTGGTGGCAGTGACGCGCATGCATGTCAGAAACTGCTTCATAGTATCGGTATTCTCTTTCCGTGCTTCGTTTCTTGCCTGCAAAGCAGTCACTAAAGTTGCTTTTTATAATTTGAGAAATAATAACTAAATCTTGGCCTTTTCTATCTCAGAGTGATACAGAGAGACTTCATTCTTGCAGTTGTTACAAACAAACTTGATTACTGTGATGCTCTTTTTTCCTAAGAAAACAATCCATCTACTACTACCACTCATACAAAATTCAACAGCACAGATCCAAATGAAAACAAAACAGAAAGCTCATATATGCCCATTTAAAATAACCGCACTGGCTGCCTGAATGTTTCAGGACAGATTTCTTTTTTAAATGACCTTAAAGCACCCTTGTACCTCACAGAATGTCTGTCTGTTAACATTTCTACATGTGATCTTAGATCTGAAGACAATGGACTTCTGCAAATTCCCTCCATAAAATACAGAAACCATTGAGAGGACTCTGTTACTATGTTTTAAAAGTATGAAACTCAATTCCACCTTTTATTATGCAGTCAAGCTCGATACACACTTTGATCCATGGTATTGCTCATTTAACCCAAAAAAATTGATGTCTCCAGACGTTCTCATTACAAGATTATGTTTGGTGCCGCAGTACTACAAACTGTGTCATTAAATCAGTCTTACCATCAATTTATCACATAATTCATGCTGCGAAGTTGCATTTTCATAGTGATAGTCCCAGCAGTGGTTAGGGAAACAGAGGTCAACTGCTATCATCAAACTCATAAGAATGTAGATCACTGATGCTGCACATGTCACTATCTGCATTCCCAAACAGGCTTTCAGCTGTTAGAAAACAAAACACACACACAAACTGAAGCATGCTTACCTTTACAACATTGCTATGAAATAACCATGCACTGCTAGAAATGCACTTTATTTAGAGGGCTCACATCTTATGATGTTTGTGGTTTTATTTACAAAAAAACTTTTTTTCTTTGTTCTTGAAACTGTTTACTGTTGTTGTACTAAGAAAACCTGTATTTCTATTTTTTAATTTTTAATTTTTGTACACCATTGGCCCAATTACATTGTGTGAAAATTGTATGGACCGATGGAAATGCTCCTGAATTGAGAATTTCTAAATTGAGACATTATTAATCAATTCTTGCACTATTTGGCAGCACAGTCTTTTACAGAGTGGTGAAACCCTCCCCATCTTTACTTCTGAAAGACTCAGCCTCTCTGGGATGCTCTTTTTATACCCAATCATGTTACTGACCTGTTGCCAGTTAACCTACAAAAAACAATAACATTTGTTAGTTTCAATATGTGATTTGAATTAATGTACAGTTTGAATTATTTGCACATCATTACATTCTGTTTTAGTGACGTAAATACAATTCATACAATGTTTGATTTAAATCACTTATGGGCGTATTTCACTCAGTTTTGGCATAAAGCCACTTAAGGTAGCTTTTAAGTAAACCCTGCTAGCCTTGCCTGGCTAGTTAGCAAACTAACGACACTATTGCCGTACTACACAATATAAATCTCCATAAAATCCATATTAGATCACACAGATCTTGTACTGAAGAGGCAATGAACCTAAAGTCTTTAAGTGAAATAGACAAGTAAACACTGATCATCTGGTAACTCAGCTAACCCCTGCAAACATGCCCATGTGGGCCCAATGAGGGCTACCTGTGGCTTGTGTGGGTTCGGACTAGCCAACAGATAACTCTGTATTAGCCCACTGTGAGTCAGCCCACAGTGGGCCCACATCACTGAACTCACAGTGGGCCCTTAAGGGTTTCTGTTTAGGCAGTACACCACTGGGCTTGCCTCTCAGATAACATGACACAGGCTCACTGTGGGTCACTACACACTGGGCACACATTAGCTAGCCCACTGTGGGGCCTTAATGGATTTGGTAACCTGACACAGGCCCACTGTGGGCCCCTAAGGGATTGGATTAAAGGATTATTTTAATCATTCAGATTTGGCTGTGTGGTTGATGACATATTTTTCTGTGGCATGACAAACAAACTCAGAACACATATTACTGCTTTGCACTTTTTTGTATACTTCAAGTGAGAACATATTAAGGATCCTATTGCAGTTCTGTCCATCTCAACAGGAGGACTTTGAGTAACTTGCCCAGTTAAGTTATCAAAAAGTTAAATACTACAGCAAAATGTCAACTGAAAGTGTCACAGATTTTCTTTTCTTTTAAATGACTTTTGAATCTAAATTTAAGTACTGATGAAAAGAAGAAGAACCAGGGCCATTTAAAGATGTCACTGTTTTCCAGAATTTAGTGTGAGAAGATGCACTGTCTTTAAGATAGTGTAGTATTTGTTTCTGAAACAACAACAAATCGGTATTGTGCCTCATTAAAAAAACTCCTGGCTGAAACACTCCTTATAATTTTCTTATGAAAGGGTGGACTGCCCTGCTCCAAAGTACGTAAATGTGTTGGTTTTTGTGACATCATATAAACAATAAATTAAGAACAGGCCATTTATGCAACTTAGTTTCTAATATGGATCATATGGATTGGGGAGTGAATGTTACATTTTAAAATGCTGTTTACATACTACATCCCTTTCATTATATATATATATATATATATATATTTATTTATTTATACAGGGAGATTTACTCGAAAGAGGCCCCGATTATTCTGTAATAACTCTCGCTGGGATGAAACGATCTGAACGAAACAACGTGCAACTTGCTCCTCAGTATATGGAGCTTCAAACAAGCCGGATGCCCCGGCGTCGGAGTGACGAGGTAGGCGCCGGACAGCCATTGTGACGTTTAACCTACATTTGCAACTTCCGGGTGCATACCCCCCATACCCCCTTCCAGCATTGCATGTAATGCAATCAATTACACATACGTCAAGGTATGTAGCGTATTTTTTTTGGTCCAAATTGCTTCATCCTAACAGGAGCTACAGCAGAATATTTGGGGCATCTTTCGAGTGAATCTACCTGTATATATATATATATATATATGTTCCATGATATGAGCCCTTTAAATAATTTTAACCATGTGTCAACATGTGTCACTATGCTTACTTTAGGAAGGTGAAGAGTCTGTGCAGCTATTGCCACACTACCAGCTATTATTCCCTTCATTATGGAAAGAAAATGTACACTGTCAGACACTGCATTAAAACAACAAACAAACAGCATCACAACAAGGTTCTGTGTTCAATCCAGTTAAGATGACCTAATTCCAAACATAAGTTACATACGAAACATCATTAAACTGGTAATACTTACAATTGAAGAAAGGCTACCAGTGATGGTACTTGACAGGCAGGCCCAGTCATTTTTGTGCTTAACAAGTATGATATTCACGAAAAAGAGACTTAGCATAATCTGTGTTAGCTGTGGAAAACAATCACATAAATATCTCATCTGTTTTGTGAGGAAACAGAACAACATATTACAGTTGTAGGTAACATTAAAGATAAAGTAGTGAACTTTGGAGGCAAGTTTGTCAACACACCCCTAAAGCTTTGGGCTCCGCCTCCAAGTACTTCTGTTCTCGATAGGGGTTTTTCTGAAAGGTGACTTCCACCAGTGCTCCTGTTTCACTCGGAGCATTATGGTTTTGGGTTCCAGGACAATGGTCAGCTGTGTCAACAATCTCCACTTCACTGTCACCTGGAGACATCAAATCAAAGTATTCAATTACATGTCCAAGTTCAAATCACCAATTGGATTGTAGTATTTTTTTTTTTTTTTGAAGATTTCACACATTCTGTTTTGCAATGAAAACTATGAAACTACAGTCAAACTGTAGTTAACTAAAGTTAAAGTTTGAACTAAAGACACCCTCATTTTCTGAGTGAAAATCAGTTAACACATCCTCTACAGAAGTTAACACATTTAAATATTGCATTTTTCTGCTAATATTATTGTGCAATTTCTATTTATTTAGTTTAACATATTGGAAAAAATGAAAATATGAAATATAAAATAATAAGTGCCATAATTTTTGCACAGGCCACATTTTATGTTTTTCCCAGTATGTAAACAAAAAGAAAAAAAAGGTAATTGTGCATTAAAAGTGTGTTCCCTGTAGAGGATGTGCTAATTTTTTTTCACTTGGAAAAGGGCACCCAACATTTTGTGCACAACTGTAAATAGAAATAAGGGTTTAGCTTCTGTTACAAGCTTGACATCATACCAATAGAAGAATTGTTTTCTGTGCTATATAGAACAATTTTCAAAATAAGTTCTATATAGAACCACATACAACATTTTCCATCCATCTGTATAACCATTTCTCCATGCAAGGACCATTTAAGCATGAAATGCATATAGAACCCGTAGTTCTCAACAGAACCGTTGCTGTTAGTAAAAGAGCCATATTGTTTTAAGTGTGTTGAGTCTTCTATGTATTTGATCACTCTAGATTGTTTGGCTTTTTCCCATATTATTCCATTTCAGGTAGTGTAAGGGATTAGCCTGTCCCGCCACAAACAAATTACAGTTTAAGCATACTAAGCCTACACAACATGCAAAATCATTACACCCCAGTCCACTCACCATTCCCCACTATACCTAGTCATTCAACAAAACATTTTGCCCTGCAAAATCATAATGCCATCATTGGCTGGCATTAGCAGTTGCTGCGGGAAATTATGAAGCAGCTGAACCCTCTGGTCGGGGCCCAGCCAAAGGGTGCTCAGCCAGCCACCACTGCTTCTTCGGAAACTCCCTCTCAGCCACCCCTTGTTGATCCCTCCACCAGGCAGGGGTACACACCCTGGTAGCCAACCCCTCGTGGTATGCTGGGGTATGCGGGGTTGCGTGGTATACGGGGTTGCAGAGGGTTCCTGCTGCAGTGCTCAATAGTATTCAAGCAGCAACCCTCTTGGTTCTTCAGGGAGAAGTCCACAGTAGCCTACATCCTTTCACTCCTTACAGGTAGGGCTCTGGTTGGGCCACTTCTCTGTGGGAATAAAACTCCCCTGAATGTGCCACAGGTGAAGCATTTGAAAAGGCTATGTGCCAAAACTTCGCTAACCCGGTGGGGGTAGGGAAGCTGCACCCAGACGCTTCCAACAGGGGCTCAACAAGAAACTCACGGATGAGCTAGCCACTTGGGAACTGCCCTCCTCTGGAAGGTCTCAATACTTACACACATCAGAGAGACCTAGACCAGTGACACACTTCCCACACTTGTCTTCGGTTCCCTCTGGTGCTCCTCTTCCATGGGGTCATCGCCTTGTGGAGAGCAGCCAGAAGCTATGCAGTTAGGTGGTGCATCCCTTCCTAGCCGTAGGCCCAAGTCACAATCTTCTGAACCAAGGCATCCCAACAGCAACGCCTGCTCATCAGGAAACGCACAGGCGCCACTCATCACTCTTTTAACACTTCATTAATGAAGTGCTGAGGGAAGCCCTGGGTCACTATGCATATGTCTACCTTGATGACATACTCATTTGTAGCTGATCTATCAAGGAACAAATTGGGCATGTCAGACAGATCCTTCAGTTATTACTGGAGAACCACATGAATGTCAAACTGGAGAAGTCAGTGTTCCATGTCTCAATGGTATGCCTTTTTGGTTCCGTGGTATTCAAGGGCACCCTCTATTCAATGTTTTCAGGAGTTTGCCAACTTCTTCTGGCACTTTGTTTAGAACTTCAGTTCTGTGGCAGCTACTCTTACCGCTCTTACCCAGAAGACCCCAGGACATGTTCATTGGACCACATCTCCTTTTGAGGAGATTAAGATGCAGCTGACTTCTCCCCCAGTCCTCCAGTTGCCCGATCCTGAAAAAATGTTTGTCATTGAGTTAGACAACTCAAATATACTCACCCAGCGCCTAGGTATGGCCAATAAGCTCCACCCCTGTGCATTCTATTTGCACCATTTTGCCCGTTGGGGAATGGAGGCACTGACTTGAGGGGGCTAAACATCATTTTATGGTCTAGACTGACCACAAAAACATGGCCTGACAACGGCTATACCCCCTTCAAGCAAAATTGGTGCTATTTTTCAGTCACTTTGACTTCTTGTTGTCCTATAGGCCAGAATCTGAGAACACCAAGCCAGATACCCTATCTTGACAGTGGGAACCTCCGAGGCCTGACCCCTCCCAGGAACACTGCATTTCCGTTCCTTGGATCCTAGCCCCCATCCGGCTGAAGCTGGAGACCTTTGTCCTTATACTTTAGACTGTTTCTGTGTGAAGAGGGAGCCCCGCCAGCTTGACCCCCTGCACCACATCTCATTGCATGGTCCCCTGCCTATATGATCCAATACCTTCTGGACTTCCGCCGAGTGTGGGATGGCACCCAGTATCTTGTGGACTCGGAGGGCTACGGTCCCGAGGAACGGTCATGGGTCCTGGCTCGCTACATTCTAGATCCGGAACTCATTAATGAGGTTCTGAGGATGTGTGCTGCAGGCCTGGGGACTTTGGGGGCCATCCCTAGGAGTGGGGGGGTTCTTTACAGCACAGGCCGATAGCAGTGAGGACCGGCTCAGGGAACTCCAATTTCCAGACGCCCACAGGCTGATTAGCACCAAACAAGGAACACCTGTGCAACACTGCACTTAAGCCCATGGCAAAGTGGCATGGGCTTTAGTGGTATGGTAATCAGTAAAAAAGAAAAGAAACAAATAACTTCATAACAAAGAAAGAAAAGAAACAAGGTCTGTAAAGAAAAGAGAAGAGACAAACAGCTCTTGAACAAAGATAAGAAAAAAAGCAAGAGCTGTAAAAGAAAAGACACAAACAGCTCCAATTAAAAGAGAAAAAGAAATAGGAGCTGCCAAAGTAAAGCAAACAGATAAATAGTTCCCTATACAAAAAAGGCTGTGAAGAATCTGTGCCTCAAAAATCCCAGGAGGTCAAAAAGAAACTTACTCAAGAACTAAGAACCTCAGAACTAATCCTCCTCTTATTTCCAGAGAGGGATTATTTAATTTAAAAAAAAAATCTGTATTTAAGTATTTGACCTGTGATTTTGTGAGGTTTGTGATTTCCTCCTTTCCCTAAAATTACATGTAAATCTGTATATACAATTAATTGAGGCAAATTTTGATCAGTGTTGTAAAAATGCAACTATGGACCTCAGTCACCACGTTTTTAGCATTATTCACATAAAATAGTACCATTTACCCCATTATAGACAGTGGCTCCATATCAAGTCCTGTCGGTCACCTGTCATACACATACACACAGACACACAAAGTGACCCCGAATAATCAACTACTCGACAATTCGATCTAAGGAAACTGATTCAAATGCCAAAATGTGGATATGAAACAAGGATCATTCCATTCCTCACATATGGGGTTGCTGAATATCTGTTTTTACATAGATTTTACATAGTTTCCTGATTTCCACTAATAAATCAGACATGCACGTCCACACAGAGCTGGCCCAAGAGAGGCCCTAGAGAATGCACTACAGAGAAAAATAATGTTCACAGCTGGCCCAGCAAATTGAACCCAAAAGCCAACATACATAATGTGCCAGGAGGAAGCAGTTGCTGTTTAAAAAGAACATCGGGGCAAGACTAAAGTTTGCTAATCAATTTCTAGGTGAGGACCAGGACTTTTGGAACAATTTGCCATATACAGACGAGTCAAAGATATTGTTATTTGGCCACAGTACAAGAAGCCATGTTCAAGAGGCTTTATTGTCATTTCAGCTACAAGTACACAGTGAAACAAAACAACATTCCTCCAGGACCGCGGTGCAACACACGAACACAACTGCAAAATAATACTATATACACAGTGCAGACAAAACAGTAAAATAAATACAAAACAGAACTCAGGCAGTGTATTGTATTGTGTATGACAAGTTAGCAGATTAGCAGATAGCCTAGCATGAGCATAGCAGTCACTGAGGGAGCAGCCAAAAGAGCAATCGAATGTGGTTGATTCATTCATACATTATCCCAATGTATATCATACTTGCTGTCATACTAAAAACAGACAAAAGTTTAAAATAGAAAAATTTAAGTGCATCAGTAAAACCCTTTGAGAAAAGTCAAATGCGTTTTACTTGTGAATAATGTCAACACATTTAACGTTTAGCCTAGACGTCTATTAAATGTTTCACATAATTACACGTATGAAAAGTGTAAATAAATGAATCATCGTAAGAGAAAATTACAAATGAAAAAAAAAACTGCATCACGTGAAACGTTAACATGCAGAGAAAAGGTAGAAAAGGAAAATAAACATGTGAAAGTCATTTTGTTCTGTGAGGGAATCAGTGTGGGTTTAAACAGGAGGTGAAGAGCAGAGAGAAGGAGAGAAGAGTACAGTAAACAGAGCTGTTTCAGGATCCGGGTTGGCCACTCTGGTTTAAGCTGTCTGTGTCTCGGCTGCAGTACTGCTATGTAAAAGAAGCGCTTTGTATCAGTCTTCGTCCTCATCACATGCTGTCTCTCAAAGACACCCTGAGAGGTAATCGCTCAGATATGCGCCGCTACATGGTCGCTTTACTTGAACAGCTTTCAACTGCACTGTTTTCCGTCGTGTTTTGTTGTAAATCCGACAGAGTTATAGCTGGTTAGGCTACACAGACGGAGCTAAACTCGCCCAAACGCTGCTGTTTACACGGTGTCTGAATGTGCGCTGCCTAACGGCCCGTTGAGAACATGTCTAATCCAGCCTGTGCGCTGACTTCGCTCCGCTCACTCTTTACCGAAACACACCGCGCTGGATGCTCGGAGGCTCGAAAACCTACCTGTCATTTCCGCTGGTTCCGTGTGTTAAAGTGAGTTACTTTGCAGCTTGAAAGGCCGAGAAGTGTCGTATCTGCTGACAGTGAATCTGAGGGTGTTTTTCAGTTTTCCCGTTACTCAGTCCCGCCCCCCCCACCAAGAAATTTGACCCCGATAAACATCTGGGAAGCCACAGCTGTGGGGTTCAAACATGGCCACAGTTCACTGTCAGCTCCTCCACTCCTACATTAACCCTGTACACACTCACCATGTGGGGAGTTAAGAAGAGCCAACAGTTACGATTTATAGGTTTTATTACCTTCAAACAGTCCGCGCAGTTACAGTAGAACTGAACTCCACTGTGTTTAAACTTCTCTTTCCCGTCAACTTTATCATGATTAATATAGTCTATCCCAAGTACACGACTCAACCTTTGCTTTATCTTACAGGCTCTACGTGTCCATTAGTTTGTAGGCACCTGCTCATCCATGCTGGGGGGGCTCTGTGCTCAGGGTTGGGATACAAATCACTGCTGTTGGAACAAAATCAACCAACCTACAAGTCTGTAAGATAAAGCAAAGATTGAGGCGTGTACTTGGGAGAGAACTATTCAAAAATAATTTGAAATAAATTATCTAAAATTTGAAATAAATTACATTAAATTATATAAGGCTGGCACGGTGGCACAGTGGGTAGCGCTGTCGCCTCCCAGCAAGGGCTTGGGCTTGATTCCCTGGCTGGGCAACCAGGATTTGCATGTTCTCCCCGTGTCCAGCTCTCCCTGTGACCTGGAAGGATAAGTGGCTTAGAAGGTGTGTGTTACATAAAACATTAGGCCACATTAGCTACAGATAATCATTAAACCTCTTTAAATATCCCCAGGAGGTAGGTTTTTTAAAACTCCCATTTGCTTGAACTAGACACGAGGCTTTTCTTTTTGTGTAACTGCTAGCCCATTGATTGTTGGGTTGTTGTTGGAGAAAGGGGGTAGAACACGAGCTAATAATAAAAGAAATGGAAATAATTTCGCAGGCTGAATAGAGTTGTGCCACGGGCCTGACATGACCTGTGTGCCTTGAGTTTGACACATGACACATCTAGAGGAAAAGTAATTAGCAGCATCGTGGTTCAGTTTTGGCCCATTCCTCCCTGCAGAAAAAAAGAAAAAACAGTTACTTTGTTTGCATGTTTGGAGTTATTGTCCTGTTAAACTTGCTTATTGTTTTCTGTGTAACTGTTTTTCCTGCTGCTTTCACATTGTGCTGCGGCTCTTTTTGAGTGACTGCCGGCTTCTCTCTTACCTTCCTTATCGTTAGTCTGAGAGCGTGCTGTGGAGTCTTGCATGGTGCACTTGTCCAGGGATGATTAGTTGTGGTTCAGTCAACTTTGCAGAGTATAGACAGGGATGTTTAAGGTCTTTGCTAGGACTCTGTAGCTTTTTTCTGTTTGAAATGTTGTTTAATAATATTGTTCCTGAGAACTTTAGGAAGCTCCTTCACCGTAATTGCTACTCATTGCATGAAATCCTCCAACTAATGACAACATCTTTAATAATGACAGCTGGTGCACCATGCACAACAACTTTTTCTTTGCAGCATTAACCTCTGTTGGGTCCACAAACTCACCTGTGCATCAAATTCAATGTTCCTATATGTGTTTCTATATCTTTGCGATAATACAGCGAAAAATTTTATATTTAAGTGTGTTTCCTGAAGAGGATGTATTAACTCATTTTCACTCAGAAAATTAACAAAACAACGTGATGAAACAAAAAAAAGTGATTTGACTGAGTTTGCATACGAAAGTATATAGCTTTAATGTGGGTCCACTATTGATTTGCTGAGATTAGAGACTTTGCTGAGTGTTGACTTATACTCAAGGGCTGATCATTTTAGAATCAAGTGTGTTTAAAGATAGCCTGGGGACTCACTCTCTCTGTGAGACCAAATGGCAGTCACGATTGTAGATAACAGGTCACACTGTTATCCAGCATGTATCATCTTTGACATTTTTTTCAGCCTATCTAGTTTGTGCACTTGGAAGGCATAAAAAATACAAGCAAGAGGCTGATGTACAAGATACAGGCTTAAAGGTTAAAAAGTGAAGGTATGAGACAATCTGACCAACCAGCGAGAGAGGAGTAGCTGAATATGGTCAAGGTCAACAGCAGCAGGCTGTTATCTGTGTTTTTTGGGAACAGAGAGAGAGACAGCCGAAATGCAGGAGTAGGCCGAGTTCCATTGTTTTTGGTTAATTTTACATTAATTTATTCTATATTCTATTTTTCTCTTATTTAAACCAATTTAAACATTCAATCAGTCAATTTTTTCCACGATCATCATTTTCCTTCAACATCATAAAACCTTTTTTGTCTGACAGATTCTTTGAATAAATCTGGCAGACATTGCTGACTGTGCCATGACTTTCTGCACCAGCTCAACACATACATCACAAAGATTATACAAGCTATGTGTGTGCACAACTGAGCGCCTGTATCAGCAATGAGTGTACCTTAAATTAGCTGAATTCACTAATTAGATTATGCATCTGGATATTTTTGATTTGGGATTTAAAATGTATTTTGATATAACAGACCACATAACCCCATGCAACATGGATCCTATTGAAAGCACAATTCAGCACATTTCATTTATATTCTCTAATTATATTGACACATCAATATGTGTCTATATAACTATTGACACATTGATATAATTAATTACTCATTATGTCTAGTAGTGATGTGTCAAGTAGCACATCATTCTAAGATGTAAAGCAATTTCAGTCAAGTTACACTGATTTAGTTGTTTGTTTTTTGTAATTCTTGATATTGAAAAACATGGGTCTGATAATTTAATAGCACTAAAAAATTACAAATTGTTTATCTGTAATTGTCCTAAAAAGTTTAAAAGGGGCACTTTAATTTCTGACTGAGATTCACCTGCCAGATGACCTAGAACCCAAGTGGCAAAAACAAGGCCCAACAATCCGATCTGGCCCGCAAAAGTATTTTAATTTTCTATCAATATTAGCACATGTCACAATGTGCTGCACTACAGTCCCCAGCATGCACTGCAACGTAATGTGCTCCGACTCTCCTACTCCAACAATAATCTATGGGACAGCAGTTACACCTCAACAGTTACACCAATCATATCACAAAAAAGTATTTTAGCTGCAATTCAACCAATTTAAACACTTAACATTAGCTCTATGGTGAACTTGCAGCAAAGAAGGGATGCCAGGCATCTAGTTCAAGCAAATAGCTAGGTTTAAAAGACTGAGCACCTGGGGACATATTGAATATTTGAAGTGTCCATGTAATATTTCTAGGTCTAGTACAAGTGTCTGTATTTTAGTTTTTGCATATTTGGCCAGTTCGGGTTATAGCACAACATTATTTAAAAATGAAATAAAAACGTTTTTTTTCTGACCCACAGATTTGATGAAATTTCAACATGGTTGTGGCATGCGCCCGCCCCCCGGGCCCCGCCTTCCTGCCGGCTCTCGCGGCCGTCATCGTCGGGGCCCGGGGGGCGGGCGCATGCCACACCCAGCGGCGACGAACCTCGGCCAGGACGCCAGGGAGAGAGCCGCGAGTGGGGAGGGGGCGGAGCGTAAAGCCCAGGCTCCCCCGAGTGATGCGAGTGACGGCGGGAGGAGGAAGACGACGACGGTGCCGGCAACGAGAGGCACCAGGGCAAGAAGCGAGTCCCGAGCTCCGCCGCCTGGACCCCGCCCCCTGTTACGCAGCGAGGCCGCTTCACTACATCTCACGTTCGACCCGGGCGGCTGAGCTGCAAGCTGGGGGCGGAGACGGGGAGGCGCAGCGGCGAGCTCTCGTTCCCTCTTGGCTCAGGGGCTCACGCTGCCCTTAATGAGAGCCAGCTGATTCTGATCTGGCTGGCAGCGTGAGCGCCTTTTAAAAGAGCTGAGAGGGAACAGAGAGAGAGGGACGAGCAGCAGCAGCAGCAGCAGAAGAAGAAGCAGAAGACTGAGGAGCTGAAAAACTTATTTTGAAGAAGACTGAAAAGTCTAGCTGACTGAAGCCACTGAAAAGGAAATTAAAAGACTGAAAGTTAATAATCTTCATGTGATAATGATTAATCTTTAAACGGTGCCTGTCCCTTCAAGAACCTCTTGTGCGACTGAAATAAATAAATAAATGACGGTTGTTGCAAAGTGAGCTAACCGCTAACCTGAGGGAAGCTGAGGGAGAACAAGAGCAAGTGTAAAAACACTAAATACTAAATGAGCTGAATTAAATTTTTATTAGAAAAGACTTTAACAAGCTGAAGGAAGACAGTTTTGTGAGTTTAAGGCCCAATCCCATTTAACCCCTTGCCCTTACCACTTAGCCCTCTTTGTCCCAATTTTTGTTGAGATAGAGAGGTAGGGTGAAGTGTTAGGGCTACACGGTTTTTCAGAGGCTCATTCCAAACAGAGTGTAATGAGAAAAAAGGAAAACCGGCAAGAAGGCTGAGCAAGCGACCAAAGAAACCCACAAATGTGAGAATTTTCTCCGTTAAAAATTATGATAACCATTGTATTGACTTAGTTTGTCATTTCAATGTATTATGATCGTTTTCTTCATAACAAGGATAAAAACCGCTAATAGTTTGCTAATGTCTCGGTAGTTAGCTAGGTTAGCTAACTTTTTTGCCTGAACTGCTGCACCATTTAAGGTGGAAAGGGAAAATTCGAACAAGAAGCTGGTGAATAGCTGACTTCAGCTTCATATCACCAAAGAATTAGCGGTGGGTGATAATAAATAATTGTCTTAAACCCCCTGTTTGAAAGCACATGATGCCCTAAATGTAACTAAAGCCCAGCAGCGAGGTTGCTGAAGTTTTCCCTTCTCTGCTATCACTGAAGACGGGCCGGGTCGCCTACAGAGCACCGCAAGTAGCCTGTTAATGGTAATGTTTTTATTTTTAATTTGAGGTTTGTCCCATTTCGTAGGGCAAGATTTCAACCACTACCCCTTGTAACTCAGGTTAGGGTGACACTTGAAAACAAGGAGTAGGGGTAAAAAGAAGAAATAGGATTGGGCCTAATTCTATTGCTAGCCTCGTTAGAGTTAGCTAGCGTTAGCTGTGTTAGTTAAAGCTAAAGAATTCGGTTCTTAACTGAAAAAATAAACATAGTTTGTAGTCATAAAAAGGAAAAGTAT